AAGAAATGAAGAAAGTTGGCAATGGTGCACATGATGAAAGGAAAATGAAAGTAATATTGATGGTCTCAAGAAAAAGCATAACTTGCCTGTATATGAGTTGTAGATATGAGCAAGAACAACCAAGTGAGGAATACAAATTTCACCAGATAATAGTTTTTCAGGACGGATAAAATTTAAACTCTTCCAACCAGGACTCTCACAAATCACTGTCTTTAAGGCTTCTAGCTTCACATAAACCAAAACCTCAGGATGATAAATTTAATCATAAAAATGTAATGGGTTCATACAATGTAGCCGTGATTCTTTTAGTTTATATTGAATCTGATTTTAGCTCCCATATACACTTTCCATCAAAATATTTAAGTGATTTGAGTATGACAAGTGGAATTGTTTTGAGACCCCCATCAGATGTCAAATGAAAATATTAATCAAGTGTAAGGCCAAGCTTGATAGACTCTAGAATGCTCTACCCTAAGTTGAATGGAGAATCACAAAATTCCTACAGATTTCTCTGTGCTCTTGATTCAAATTGGGCCTTTGTCAGTACTGACTAAAATTATCACCATTTCTTAATATGAAGAAAATGTAACGATAACCTTTCCTTCAATCTGTTCAAGGGATGCAAAGGTCTAGCCTAAGCCCATGATGACGAGCACAAGCAAGAAATGAATTGGCAGRTTTTGTAAAGAAACCAAGAAATCAATAAACAAATTTTCTCACTCTTTTTATATATAGAATCYATAAGTCCTTTGGAAAAGCCTATTTGGTACTGAGGGTACGAATGTATCTAAAATGCTGAGGAGAGTCTCTGGAAGTGTTGTTGTCACTCTGGTACCTTTGGTGAACACTACAGTTTCTAATTTTTCTTTTCTAAAGTAAGAAAATACAATTCACAGAAATAAGACTTGGAAGATACAGCTCACAAATGCTATTTTTGCCTCAAAGGCACTTGGAAATTTGAAAACCACAGATGAGGAGAAAGGGACTATTCAGCCCCTGATTTGAGAAATAACAGCAAGAGAAACTTCATCTGAGCTGACAGAAGGTTAATAAAGAGTGGAGCAGAATCAGAACTAAATTGTCTTCTGTGAAGGGCGCACCAAGTCTGAAATGGTGAGACCAAGATCCCTTTTCATTCTCTTCATGAAACCATAGAAGGAAAAAGAAATTAGAGAGGAATCGGGAGTGTGTAATCATCCTGGCTTCACAAAGCAGGCAGTCCTGTGCACCCGCCAGATGCAAGGGCTTCTCTTGGGGCAAGAGACACAGACRGGGTATTCAGAATGTGTTTCTTTTCCAAAGAATAGGGCCATGAAAAGAACCTGCTACCTTTAATGCACTGCAGATTTAATGAAAGGCAACTGCTATTTTAAGATTTTATAAGGGGATTTGATAACAAAGAGGAGTTGCAGGCACCGTCCCCATTACCACCAGGCTTCCATCCTTCCTTTCATCCGTAGCACTAGGCTGGCTCTCAGAAACTTTCACAGATAGTTAGAGCCATCAGATGAAGGTTACTCGCTCAAAGGCTCAGTCCAATCATGTTCAGCTGTTTTGGCTTGAATTAAATTGATACCAAAATGGTCTCTTTTTTATTAAAGTACTATAATCATTGTGGCTGCAATCCCTCACTAATGTAAGACTTGATATAAGCAGTGATAATGGTGTATGTCACCAATGCTGATAGCTGTCAGAACTTATTTTTTCTACAGAACTAAAAAGAAAAATAAAACTCCCAATTATTGTTAAAATGGACAAAAGATAACCCTTTGTCCAGGGCAGAGACATTTCATTTACTTCATTTTCTTCTCAGCGCTGTCAAGCAATGTTGCAGATTCACTTGATGCTTTACGTGCACTCCATTAGATCCCAGAGCTCACAAGGAGGATTACAAAACAGGGGGAAATTTAAGGTAGAAAATTTTAGGCTCCCATGAAGTCTATGCCAAAACTTAACACAAGAGGGTCAGACTTTCACTCCTGGGCTTTCTCTTCAGCTATTGTATGGATTTTCATCTTTTAATTGTGCCCGTGGGCTGGCTGRGACTCACGCTGAAAACATGACTTCTACTTTCACACTAAAGCACGACAAGCTGCTCTTCTCTCAGCACCACTCCAGCCACACTGGTGTCACTGCGCAAGCGATCCTGGGGCCTTGCAAGCACAAGCAACACCGGGTCCGGGCGGCAGCGATACGCTCCCTGGCTTTTGGTGAAGGCTGCTTTTGTGGAAAATGTTATTTAAAATCTTTCAGTGCAGAATTATTTTTCTGACAGCCGGTAGTGACCAGATGTAAAGCTGCAGCATGAGCTCTGGACRCTGGCTGTCCTGAGCAGGGACTCGGATTGTGACATTCAGACACAGGGCTTTTGCTTGCGAGGCAGCAGAGAGGAGAACTCTCAGCCTTCCTCAACAGACGGTGTCTCCCACTCAGCTCTGCAACCTGGCGGCCTTCAAGAAAGCGGTGAAAGAAGATGGAGATGGGTACGTGAGGAAGACTCCAAGAGCGTGAGAAAGTAGCGGACTCGTGTGAAGTCAGAGTCAGTGGGCTGAGGACGGGAACCTCAAAYGTGTGATGGAAGAGAAAAAGTGGTGGAACAATAAAGGAATCAAGAGGCCACTCTTCTATGCTTTTCACACAGTGATACCCAGGTTGCTTTTTGGAAAGCCAATTTTAGTGAATCTGTCTTGTCCTTTAAAACCTGGACAGTGACTGAAGTCTGCCCTACTCCAGCTCTTTTCCTCCATGTTGCCAATAATACCTAGCACTGGGGGAGCTGCAGAGCTCTTGCCAACAGCTACAAAGGTTTTTTTGGAGGGGAAGAAAGGTTAATGTGGAAACTCTCTTTCCAGTGCCAAGATTTTCCTTATGGAGTTAATGGGGTAGGAATTCTTATATTGGGAGTAAGACCGAAATTCCTCTTTGGTCTTACTGCAGACTTTGCCATATGAGATGGGCTGAGATCCACTTGCCAGAAGAGTGAAGGTGCACAGCTAGAAACTGTTGCTGCTGCTGACGGGCCAAGGCTCAGGAACTGAATGTTTCTCTTAATAAGGACCCCTARTAAAAGCCAGATCAGGGTACAGCTGGACTGATAGGTATTTTGCATTCACAGACTAGCAGAACTGAGAAACGTGTTTTGTCTTGGGCAGCAAAAGGCATTTTCATGTAAAACCTCGCATGGGGATGTAGCGAGCTGTTCCACCATCTTTCACTGGAATATGTGCATTGCATTATGAGTTTTTTTCACATAGCAAGAAGATATTTTCTTTGTACACACAGAGCACTCAGGGATTCCCTGCACTGAACATGACTGGATGAGTGCACAGATCAGCGCTAGATATTAGTGATGGTGATATATGGTGATTAGTGATGTTGAGATGGGCTTAAAGGGCTCTGTAAGACTACATTTTCCAAACTAAAATAGGAAACAACAGCTTCCAGGCATTAATGGCCTGATTTTCGTTTCAGCCTGTGGGGATGTTTTTTCTTTCTTAACCACAGGTAGGATTGTTCTTTATTAAACAGAACATTTGACTTTAGCATCATAACTTGGCTTCAAGAGCAGGTCTTTGTTTTAAAAAAGGTCTGTTTGAGCAAAGTATTTATCTGACTGCTGTTCCAGGCGGCCATTTCCAGAGGAAATGAGGCTTCTGCTGGAAACCAGTGGGTAGCATTCGTGCCACTCTTGTGAAGGAGCTGCTGAACCAAAATTTTTTGGGTCTGGGGAAAGAATCCAATAATTCATCATTACACTCATGCTTGGCTCTCAAATTTGTCCCTGTGGGCCACTGCCAGCTACAGGATACTGCCCTTGGAGTCCTGGTTTGACACCCTATGACTGTTCCCACGTTTCTATCTTGTTCATGATCTGCTTTGACTCTCATTTATAAAGTGAAATAATACACTAGGAAACCCTTGCTTTATAGGGGTCCCTTGTACAGTGCTGTCAGCTCAGGTACGCTTGAAGCAGGTCAGCAGAACAGAACTCTTCCCATGTGAAAACCACATGGTTCTTGGAAGGTCCCAATGACCATTTCCAGAAAATGCCCCTGCTCTATTTTTTTTTTTCAGAATTTGATACCAGCGCTCTGAACTGTGGACCGAGTCTGAACTGTGCACCTGCTTATCCAAAAAGAATGAATAACTTCTACAAGGAATCTGTCAACACAGCCAACAGCATCACCAGGAAATGAAACCTTAGGGCAAGATGCAGGAGAAAATTTCTAATTATTATCAGAACTCTGTACTACTGGTCACTGGAGATACAAACAGAAAGGCACATTTCTGAAATTTTAATTAAAATAAGCAATGGAATTATTGATTAAAATGGAAAAAAAAAGTGGAAAAAATGCTCTGTATGCCTGCCACTGAAGAAAACCCATTCTGTAACTCTCTTCCTAATTTTTTAACTTCTTTCTKTATAAGGTTTTATATCATGCTGCTTGTATGCATGAAGAACTATTTCCAAGGAAACTAATGTGCCAATAAAGTGCAGTAGCTATTCAGCACTAATTCCCTTTGTTTAGTTGCGGCTGTTTGATGTGTCTATATGTAATTTTGGTTAATCCACTTTCAAAGCAGAAAGCACTGCAGAATGGTGAATCTAAGTGCCTTCTGACTTAGACATGGCACAACAATATTCCATTCAGTAGATGATTTGCTTCCTTTTTCTAGCACCAGTTCAACACCGGAGGGCCAGATGTGAGGAGATAACGCTGTTTTTAACAGCATCTTTAAATGAAAACCACAGTTCAGCAAATGGGGTTTCTCACAGCATGCAACAGTAGAAAGGACATTAGCAGGGGAGCTTCTCCCAAAGCAGCTCTGGGAAGGTGCAGCCCCTGCGACTGCTTTGCCAGGGCAGGGCTGGGCTTTGCGGGCCCAGCGTAGCAGGGGGGCAGGCAGCTGATCTAAGCTGATGGGTGGTAGCCCCTCCRTAACAAACACAGGCCCATCCCAGGTGGAATGTCCCTGGAGTTTGGAACAGAGTGACTCACCTGTTCAAATCYCGATGGATGATGGGCTGTGTGAGATTGTGCAGATACTCCATCCCTTTGGCAACATCGACGGCAATGATTAATTTAGACTGAAGGTCAAGAGTCCTAGAATTTGAAACAATTATAACATCACTCAAAATTTACAGACAGGCTGAAAATTATCTGTAAAACAAGGTCCCTTTTAAAATCTTAAATACAGAAGAATGTTTTATAATGTAATATAAAAATATTTACTGTAAAATAATAACAACCAAATAATTATTGTGATTACTCTTTTCCCTTGTATACCAAATAACCTGAATTAAAGAAAGAAAATTTTTAGTGTTCCTTTCACTATTTGTTGATAAGGAGTAAATCTTATAAATGTTAGTGCACTGCTGAATGGGCAAGGGGCCTTGGTGACGGAGGATGCTGAGAAAGCAGAGTTACTAAATGCCTTCTTTGCCTCTGTCTTTACTGCTAAGGTGACCCCCCCATGAACTGCAGGGCTCCAATAGAAGAGATATAAATGGGCTAGAGGAAGACCTTCCGCGGGTTGAGAAGGATTGGGTTAGGGATCACTTAGGCAAACTGGCCACTCAAAAATCTATGGGCCCAGATGGGATGCACCCAAGAGTGCTGAGGGAACTGGCCGAGGTTATTGCTCAGCCTCTCTCCATCATCTTTGAGAGGTCCTGGAGAGCAGGGGAGGTGCCCAAGGACTGGAAGAGAGCCAACGTCACTCCAGTCTTCAAAAAGGGCAAGAGGGAGGAGGCAGGCAATTACAGGCCGGTCAGCCTCACCTCCATCCCTGGAAAGGTGATGGAGCAGTTCATCCTAGAGAGAATCTCCAGGCATATGAAGGAGAAGAAGCTGCTGAGGAGCAGTCAGCATGGATTCACCAAGGGGAAGTCATGTCTGACGAACCTCATAGCCTTCTATGATGGGATGACAGGCTGACTGGACGAGGGGAGAGCCGTGGATGTTGTCTACCTTGACTTCAGCAAGGCTTTTGACACCGTCTCCCATAATATCCTCATACGGAAGCTCCAGCAGAGTGGACCAGACGAGTGCACAGTGCGGTGGTGGCTGGATGGTTGCGAGGGCTGGCTGGATGGCAGAGCTCAGAGGGTGGTGATAAATGGGGCCGAGTCCAGTTGGAGGCCTGTGGCCAGTGGTGTCCCCCAGGGGTCAGTGCTGGGCCCAGTGCTGTTCAACTTGTTTTATCAATGACCTGGACGAGGGCACGGAATGCACCCTGAGCAAGTTTGCAGATGACACCAAGCTGGGTGGAGTGGCCGACACTCCGGAGGGCTGTGCTGCCATCCAGAGGGACCTGGACAGGCTGGAGAGTTGGGCAGAGAGGAACCTCATGAGGTTCAATAAGGACAAGTGCAGGGTCCTGCACCTGGGGAGGAATAACCCCAGGCATCAGTACAGATTAGGGGTCGACCTACTGGAAAGCACCTCCATCGAGAGGGACCTGGGAGTCTTGGTGGACACCAAGTTAACCACGAGTGAGCAGTGTGCCCTCGTGGCCAAGAAGGCCAATGGGATCCTGGCTGCATCAGGAGGAGTGTTGCCAGCAGGTCAAGGGAGGTGATTCTGCCCCTCTACTCAGCTCTGGTGAGGCCGCACCTGGAGTACTGTGTTCAGTTCTGGGCACCCCAGTATAAGAGGGACATAGAGCTTCTCGAGAGGGTCCAGAGAAGAGCAACCAGGATGATTACGGGAATGGAACACCTCTCGTATGAGGAGAGGCTGAGTGAGCTGGGCCTGTTTTCTCTGGAGAAGAGAAGGCTGAGRGGGGATATGATTAACATGTGTAAGTTCAGGAAGGGAGAGTGCAGGGAGGAAGCGGACAGGCTGTTTTCACTGGTGGCCAGARACAGGACGAGGGGTAATGGCCAYAAGCTGGAGCACAGGAAGTTCCATCTCCAGGTGAGGAGCAACTTCTTTACTGTTAGGGTGACAGAGCAGTGGAACAGGCTGCCCAGGGAGGTTGTGGASTCTCCTTCTCTGGAGGTCTTCAAAACCTGCCTGGATGCCACCCTGTGCCACATGCTCTAGGTGTGCCTGCTTGAGCGGGAAGGTTGGACTAGATGATCTCTAGAGGTCCCTTCCAACCCTGAATATTCTGTGATTCTGTGATTCTGTGAAATCTGTATCGACACAGATTTGCTAATCTTCAGAATTCTGTATCATTACCCCATGCAAAGAATGGGTAAGATACCTCTTCTGTTCATGGAGCAGGGAAAAAAGGGATCCTCCAGAAATATACTGCGTGACGATAGCAAACTGACTTGGGTCATCCAAGCAGGCCCCAACAAACTGTATGACACATGGATGATTGAGCCGGCAGAGAATGGAAACTTCACGGCAAAACATGTCCACATCAGATTTGGAGCAGTAGGTATTGGCACGATAGCTGCAAATTTACAGGAGAAGGCAGTGTGGCATAAATATCATCTTTTGAACGCCTCAAAATAGAGCATTAACAAAACAAAACAGAGAAGTGTTTGAAAAACCTACCGTTTGATTGCTACAATTTTATTTCTGCATCGTCCTTTATATACTTTTCCGAAAGACCCTAAAATGATTTAAAATAAGTAAATATAAAGATATTTCTTGTGAATATCAGGCATGTAAAAATGCATGCATTCTTATTTCTGATACCTGAGCCAATAATCTCATGGAACTCTATTTCAGAGAGCTGAAGATGGAAATGTGATGGCAGGCCAGCACGCAGGAGAAGAACATCTGCCTTTTCTGCAGAAGAAAATTGTTACCGTATCTGTAAAATGCAGGGTCATGGGAAGGGCAAAATAAAAGTACTTAACTTCACAAAAAACATTGCACAGTAAAAGCTGATTTCCTCGATTATTTCTATCCTTTCTTTCAGAAACCACAATAAATCTCAATAATAAACCAAGTTTTGCAATCATTACAGTTGCTTCAGATTTTCTTGGTTTTACAGTCTTATCACTGATCAAAACGTCCATCGTCATATTCTGCCTGGATTATAGGATAGTTGCATAAAATCTTTTGTATAGAGAATTAATTCCTTTTTCTTGAATGACTGGTGCTCATTACTAATGCTATTGCAGATCTGACCTACTCATCAGTGACAKGTGGAATCTGAATTTTGATGTGCAACTTAATACACTCAGCAACTATCACTACCTTGTTATCTGTATGGTTTGATTGTAGAAATTTATCAAAATATTTCCAAGTGGAACATTTTAATGCTGATATGAAGAAGATACAAGCATTYGAGTACATCCAGAGTGAATATTTGCAAAGGAAAACTGAAAGGACCACACACACACACACACAGTATAAATAAGCATCTGAATGCTTTGTCTACCCATTGGGTAGCCATTCAAATACCCATTCCACCATTTATTTTTGGAAATAATTTTTCTTTTGAAAATAGCCAGCAGAGTCCAATTAGTTATTTGTTTCCATTAAGCRATTCCTACGCATTTTATTAGTGCTAATTCACACATGTAACCTTTTTTTTTTCCAAAGARACAAAAAAAGAGCGTATTTTTTAAAAAGCAAATGAGAGTAAGACAAATAGAGGACTTATCAGGATGAGGTACTCAGCAGCTCTGCAGAACTCAAAAGGAAAAGAATCAAGTTAAACAGAGCTTTCTATGATTATCGTAGGGAAACAGAGCTGCTGCTTATACACATCATTGCATTTCTGAACAAAACATATAGAGGAATAATGAATCTTATATAGTATATTCAGGTAACAAACACCTTGAGTAAATGACCATAAAACTTGCATTTTCCCCTTGTCACTGAATATACCTTTAGTCATGCTTTTAATCTTTCCTAGAGGGGATGGAATTGACACATAGGAACCATCTGAAATAAAAGAACAGAATGAATTTCACGCTCTTTGAAGACACTATATGCAGCTATATTGATAAATTAGCAAGGCAATGGTTGCTTAAAGAATGAAAAAATAGGGAATGAAAATCCACATAAGCACACACACCTTTGTGACACATTACATTGCTAAAATCATGATAGTAATTTGGACAGTTTCATTAACTGTATGGAACAGTATTGTGCTTCATCAGGTCAGTTTTCACAGTGTACCAAAGACCTGGTCTCTTCTTTTTTTCTCCTGAAGTGACACTTGGGTTCTTAAAACACTTAGCATTAAAACCCCCACCTGGATGTGTTGACCACTTGCCAAAATAGGTTCCGATACATGCATAAACTTGGTCTCCTATGGATCTGCACAGGCCCGAGTCAAAAACGTGGAACATGCAAACTTCCCTGTAGAGCTGGGCCTGTAGGAATCAGGTTGATCCTGCCAGTCACTATAAAATTCTGCTGATTCTGTGGCTGGAAGAGTCAATGACCTGGACAAGCTGTAATATCTAATGTAGACTTTTATCTTCCCTAYGGACAGCATTCTCAATATATTGCAACAAGTGGCAATCTTACCTCACTGGTTGCACTAGTAACAAACATTCTTCTTGCCATCTGTCATTTAATTGCCAATAGCAATGAGTATTTTTATAACAAAAAGAGTAATTAGTTCTTTCCAAGGGGGAATTAGATATCTAAAGATATTAAAAAATATGAAGGGCACTGAATACAGAAATGTACTGAATATCAGCCATCAAAGAAACATCAGAGACAACACAAAGAGAATGGCTAAACAAGGTATTAAGTATGTGCAAAGTATGAGGAATGATTGCTAAGGAATGATCTTAATTTCATAGCTTTTAGCTTTTCCTTCTAGCGAATCACACAAAGTGACAATTCTGTTTTAAGATACAGCAAGAATCCTGATGTAAATGAGGGATATATGGTACCTAGAAAATGAGYACTGTCAGGTCACTAGTTTTCTTTGTGCCAGACAGACCAGATCCAAAGCTTTCTGACATGAGGGGAACATTCCCTGAGAAAAAGACATTTCTCAGAGCCTACCTCCTCCGGGCTGTGAGTACTCATTGCAGGGTGACTCATCCTGGGGCCTTTTGTAATGCTTCAGAAGGGTCACAATAGCATCATGACCTGAGAGAGAACGGAAAAACATGCATTTGCAGATAAGCGTAGCTGTCTTGACGTAATATTCATATATTGATTCACAAAAAAATGTGTTTTTTTTTTAAAAAAGAATAGTGTGTCTGTTTATGAAACACATAAATAAAAGTTCAGTAGCACTAATCAGAAAAATAATATGATTGATAATTACAGAAATACAAAAAAAAAACCCTTGCTAATAAAAACAAACATTTTTACATGAGTCTACATAAAACTGAGATACGGTACATGGTAACAGACAAAATGGTTATACAGAAATCCTAAAATGGATGTGAGAATAGTTTTCAGTAAGTCCTATACAAGAAAGCAATGGCTGAAAATACTGAAGTTCTGATGTCCTGAACAGGACAATTTGAACAGAATATTGCAGCAAACTGTTTCATTCATCATTTTTAACTGCAAAGAAGCAAAGTGGTACACTCATAAACCTGCTCAAGTGCTCAGATTTCTGATGCACAATGTTTGAACATTTGGTAATGCTCTAAATTCTGTTGAAATTTTTTCAAAGCTGAGTTCTCCCTCAGCATTTTTGTACATTTTGCCAATATCAGGCCTTCCTTAACATCTATGCTTTTATTATGTTACAGTTTCTTACATAATAAATAGTGTTGTCGTGGGTTTGGAGAAGGGAAGAATGTCCCATAATTCTCCAACTTTAACTTGCCTTTTGCCCCATTCCCTAGAAAACATGGGAAAAAAGCAGCATCTTCATTTCTTGTTTTGTGCAATGCACTGCATATTCACCCACCCATGCCAAGAGAAAACGTTCCTGTTCRCTGCCTGCAAAGATGAAAACAGGCAAGAAAAGAGGAAACAGAGATGCATTTGGAATGAGGTCCTGATGCTCTGATCACATTCCAAACGCTACCTATCATCTCAACAGCTCTCTTGGCTCCATTTACTTGGAGCAGCTTTAATTTTCTGCCAGTTTCATGGCACACTTTGCTGGCATTTCTCTGAGGATATTCTTTATCAAGACCCTAATGAATGCCAAGTTTCTGGCTTGTGATGAGCCCAGCCTCGCGAGGGGGGAGCCGTGAGCTCACAGCTGCAGAAACCACCCTGGCTGGAGCGCCTGCGAGCTGCCAAGCAGCCGCCACGGCTCCGGGCACCGTCCCCTCTGTCCTTTCACTCAGCATGTCAGAAGTACTGCAGCCACAGAGATGAGCTGTGTGATTTAATTAGCGAAAAGAAATAAAGTGGCATCAGTATAAAAGTGGCTGATAATTTAATGCAGTAGTTGAATGTGAACTCGTTCTGTCTATAACAAATAATTCCCAAAGAAAGGATAATGGTAAGTGATTAATCAAGATAATCTGCAATTTMCTACTGGGTCTAATTATGACTTCAAATAGGTTGTCTATAAAATCTTCTCCAAAACCTGATATTGAAAATCTTGACAGATCACTATTTATTTAACTATACAGAAAGAGCAACCAAGCATTTTTTTTCACGTGTTTTATGACAATTTGTGTTATTACAAAGCAGATCAATAATAAACCAAGAATATAGTCATAATGAAAACACACCAGAAAACAGTAACTGTGAATAATACCAACTGATCACAGCCAAATCCTCCTCCTCTCCACTAATTCATTCAGAACAACTTAAAATGCTCTGCACTGAGTCACTTGCAGGATACTAAGCACTGCTGAATTCGAARGCATTATTTCCTGCCATGATTCTTCATTTCATAACTCTTAAATCAGTCATGAAAGCACSATCAGTAGAAAGTACCTGTTCTGAATACTGTCTGCATTTGAATTCAGATGAATGCATCTCAATACTTATACATTTAAAACTCAACCCAAATCACGCTCTAGCCTGTTAGGAAAACAAGCAAACAAGTAAGCAAACAAACAAGCAAACACACAACCACCACCCCAACTCTTAAGGGTATCAGAGGAAAGGGGAAAGGCAGGTAAGCTTTTCATGCTGCCCCTCATTCTGTAATCAGAAACTAGGTCCCGGTGGAGAGAAGCTCTGCTGGCTTCCTGAGCTGTGAGGACCATGAACTTACACCAAAGAGTGCTCAGATGTATTTGAATGTTTCTCTAAAGCAAAGCGATTCAGGTCAAGGATGGCTTTTGGCACATCACAGAATCAAAGGATCACAGAATGTTCAAGGTTGGAAGGGACCTCTAGAGATCATCTAGTCCAACCTTCCCGCTCAAGCAGGCACACCTAGAGCATGTGGCACGGGGAGGCATCCAGGCGGGTTTKGAAGACYTCCAGAGAAGAAGACTCCACAAYCCCTCTGGGCAGCCTGTTCCACTGCTCTGTCACCCTCACAGTACAGAAGCTCCTCCTCACATGGCAGGTTTCTGGTTATCCAAACTCCAGGTTGCTGGAAGCAAACTCTTTAAAGTGTTATCATTTACACTAACATAAAGGCAAATAAAAAGAGGGCCACTTCTTCCCACAGCCATACAAAAACTTCAAATCACCTTCCATGGTTCAGAGGCATGGAATGGCATTGCCAGGAAGCGTAAGGGAAGGAAGGGGAGCTCAAATAAACACATGGCTCTCAATCACAGATGAAATTCATAAATGGATGTGAAAATCCAAAATGTTCCCAGGAAGAAGTAAATCTTTTTATTTGCAGAGAAAATTGAAATATAGTAACACAGAAAAATGAGAAACTGCTGTCATTAATGTTCATTGAACATAGAGATTAGTGTAACAGGAACCATGCAAAATGTCCTGCTTTAATTCCTATTTGCAGGAACTAAGGATTACTGGCTCTAATGCACAGCTACTTGCAGGGTCTCCTTCAGTAACAACCTGGGACCCCCCAGGCACTCCTCCAGAGGCAGAAACTGCCTTTCCTGAGCTGTTTTCATTTTAGCAATACATAAATACTCTTGTACCTGAGCTTGTGATCAATCTGTTTAACAGAGTATCTGAGAGAAGATAAATATAAGGGCTACTTTTTACAAGCCTAGATACCAGGAGCTGGAAGCAGATGGTGAAAGCCCCTAGTCTACAGGGGATGAGAGCTCATTTTGCACTGTTATCTCCTGGCTGTACTGTTCCATGGATTTTGCAGCAGAAACTAGAAAATTGAAATACCTTTCTCATAAGCCCACATCAAACAGGTCTGCTCATCTTTTTCTCCACTCGACCTGCTGGGATCACAAGCTACCAGATTCATATCGGCTCCGTTATCCAGTAAAAACTGCACTAGACGAATATGACCATGGTAGCAAGCACAGTGTAATCCTAGAACATTAGAAAAGGAAAAAGTCACTGTGGAAAGCACAATTTTCAGAACATCATAACAGGATTTGTAGCAACAGCTATAAAGTGCAAATTGATTTCCTTGATAAAGGAATATACTATCAAACAAGTACCCAAGGCATTAGATGAAAAGAAAACATTATGCCCCAAGAACCAATCTATTGCCTGCTACACAGCTCCTGTCATCATTTACTCTGTCACCTGCAAATCACATTTAACAACTTTGTATACGAGGAAGAGCAAAGAGAAGCACAAAGGCTTTCTTCTTGCTTTGCCTGTAATAGATAAATGGAGGTGTGCAGTTCTTCAGACACTATATCCTTTCGTGCCAGGCTGAACAAAGCCTTTCTCTCCAGTCTTCCTTTTTCTCCATTTCAATTGTGACTGTTTTTTCCTTCCTGTTTTCCAAGTTCTTCACAACTGCTCTGTCCACTTTACATTTCCCATATCACATTTTTCCATATTTCTTCTTAGATACTTTTRTTTCTCCTGCCACCCCTGCCTCCCCCACTCACTATCTGAGATACAATGCAGGAAAGGACAGATCCCTTCTCCTCCATCCCACTGCACACAGTTGGAATGCGGAGCTCTGCTTAGAAGAATAACTACAGGAGAATCAGCTTACATCAGGTTGTGCTCATCATACACAAGTCCAAGAGCTCGATGCAGCCTCACTAAAATCCCATCTCTTCTATGTCTGCTCGCAAACACATTCCAAAAAAGGTGAGAGCTCTTTGAAAGGTAATGAGAGGCTGACAGTCAAATTCCTATGGGAATTACCTTGGAAATCCTGATTGTGTATGGTTTCCAAACTTTCTGGTGCTGGTTTGATATGTACTTATACACAAAAAGGATCATGATGTTACCTGTATGTCCATCTCTCCCCTGGTGATTGATGCTTACAACATTCTGGTCAAGAAGGTATTTTACAAGTTCTATGTTCTTTCCATAGGTACAAGCACTACAAAAGTACAAGGGAAAGTGAATATTGCAGTCTATAAAAGAAGAAAATATTTGGGTAGACAAAGATTTCAAAAGAGTTACACAAAAACAAAAATGGAGTAACAGAGTAGAGAGCCTTTAGAAATGTGCAAATGCAAGATTAATGCACCAAAGCAAAAAGAGCATTTTCTGTTGTATTGGGAACATTCTAATTACTCYTGTACAAATTAATTTTGTCATGCAGAATGAATACAGTCTGCTTTGCAAAGTGCTTCTTAAATAACACACTACAGATCTATGTTAYCATGACCACTTTTTTTTCTGCCACCTTACTTCTAGATTACAGAATCTAGAACCTGGCAGGTTTCTGGGCTTTACAGATTCCAAACTCAGCTTCCAAACTGGACATAAAGAGAGACCACTATTTATAAATGCATTGGTGAAACTGATTCCAACACCCCTCTCTTTTCCTTGCTCTCCGTTTCCTTAGTAACTGCTTCCTACATCTGCCTTCTCCTGAGTTTCACATTATGAACTCAACATCCRTGCCAAGCTCACTAGGTTGCTCCTCAGCTGGCTGTTGATGGGACTTCTGTTATTCCTGGGGTTGTACTGAATCCATCTGTAAGTGCAATTCCATTGAAAATGGCATTTTAAACATCTCACCTGTGGAAAGCTGTTTCACTGAATATATTTTCTTTAGTGAGACTTTCAGTTCCTGAGAGCTGAATTATTTCCTTGACAACTTCAAACTTTCCATTGTAACAAGCGCTGAAGATGAAGTGAGAAAAGAGCTGTTAACAATGCCAACTTTCTAATTAGGCCAAAACAAGGTAAAACAGAGTTTTTCCAAATGACTTACAGGTGCAAAGGAGTGTCTCCATAGATATTAACCACATGGGGTTGAACTTCAAAACTGCTCTGCARTAAGAACTTTACAATTTCGTGGTGTCCAAATCGACAGCAGAAGTGCAGAGGAACATGATCTTCATTGTCCTGAGCATTCACTGTCATTTGAAAGAGAAAGAAAGAAAATATTTTACACTTAATTTTTATTTTACTTAGCAGATATGTATTCTGAGCTATTTATGAACTGTTTCTTTAAAAATGAAGTTTTTGTGAGCTTTTATAGATCAAAAACAAATTACTCAAGGCCACGTGTGACCCAAGTGCAGCCGGGGCTCTGTGCCCGCAGGCCGGGGTGGCCGCATGGATGAGGCCAYGTGTGTCCCAACCACAGTCGGGGGCTCTATGCCCACAGGCCGGGGTGTCTGCAGGAAGGGGCCGGGCACTCCTCAGGCGGCCGCGGTGGCCACGGTGGCAGCCCAGCTCGGCCGGGGCCGTCGGGCCRCTCGGCCTGCGGCTGCTGCCCCTCTGCTTGGGCCCGCGCCTCGCTCCCAGCTCAGCCGAGCMCGCAGCCTCGGGCAGCCTGCTAGAAACTGCCGGGTTGTTCCTCCTGAGGAGCAATCCGCCCAGTGAGCACGTCCCAACAGGCACCAGCAGGCTGCTAAGCACCACTTGGGTTCTATGGAATGATCCCGACCCTGCCTGGAGCAGGGGATAAGCCAAAGGACACGCTGAGGTCCCTTCTTGCCCCCCTTTCTGTGACTATAAGGAGCAACGAACGTTTCAACAGTCTCTTTTAAAACCTTCATGAAGTGTTGGTGAATGCCCACACATCTAGGGAATTCTTAAACAGGGCTAAACTTGTAATTGCATTGATGTTTAGTGACAGAGTGCCAAAGATGAACTATGTTTCAGGYRAAAAAGACAAAAAAGTTCTTCTTKTAATTTATATTAAGCTTTCAAATTATTATTAGAGCTCTCAAATTTCATTAACTGTTCCCACCAGCCTTTCCTAGAGGCTTATATTAAAAGCAGTTGACAAGAGTAAGCCATTGAATTGCTCTATTCTCAAATTTGTCTTCACTTTTAGGATGCTTCTGACATGTTAGCCTTTATCTTTTTATTATGATGTGGTACCAGACATAAATGCATTCTGAAGTGGCATAAATAAGAGAGAAATAAATGTCAAAATTTTATAATAATAAATGTCAAAGTTTTAGACCCTGTACCCTCAGAAGGACATCAGAGACCTTGGGGCCATGGGATTCTGCAACAAGGGTGTAAGAGAGCGAGAAAGGAAACACCTCCTCTGGACAGCTGCATATGCTGCCTAACATGAGCTGGAAAACACACAGCGTTAACGTAGTCATTCCCTAAACAGCCCTTCCCTATAGTGCTTACATTAAATCCTTAGTAATGCTATATAAATAATGAGATTGGCATTCGGAAATCTGACAGTACTTGCAGCATATTGTTTTTATATACATGCATTTATTTATACTCTGTGAAAGTCTGTGGTTATATATACATGGATGGCACCTTTATACACAGGTATATGCAAACACACACCTGTGTACAGCGGCTGGAGAGCTCGAGCTCCCCTTTGGCTGCAGCCCTGGTATTTCAGCAGAACAGAGCAGCTGCACGGAAGGGCCGGCGGAGCAGCTCCGACCTGAGCCACTCTGCGCAGCTAGGGACCGGGGTGGGATGAGGCAGGAGCTGCCACCCTGGCAGCCACGCACGCTTTTCACACAGCGCAGCACAGAACCCTTCTTAACCTCTCCCTGTCGCTCCATTGCTTTCAATTCATGAGGAACTGCATTGGCACCAGTCATCAACAGGTTGTGGGACTGAGAGGCAGCAGCTGAAGCGGTGTGATAACTTTGTTCTCTCTGTAATATGCAGGATTCTTGCAGCAACTGCCAGCACTTTGTTGTTTTCCTATTTTTTTTCTATTTGGCTTTTTAATTAGTTCTCTCTAAATCAAATAGTGATAGTTTCCCTAGGCGAAATCCTGASTCACTGAAATTCATGGGAATTTTGCCACTGACTTCAAGGAACGCAAGATTTTACCTTGCATATTTTGGATATAAGTTAATAACAGCAATAATGCAGCCCAAATGCAGCCCAAAGATGAATTGAGCCGTACTTTTGCAAAGAGTGTATTGTTCCTTTTCAAACGTACTTTTCTTTCTGCTTTTCTGAGGTTAAGAAATAGCCTTCCAAATAACGCTACTGTTACCTAGTGTGCATAAACCTCAGCATTAACCTTTCCTTTATTAGCTGAGGTGGAAGGAGCGAGCAAGGTTAGCGCACTAGGCTTTGTGCCTTCTGCGTTGCTGAACCTGCATATGGAGGGGGAACAAAGGAGCAAACCTAAGAACCAAGCAGTACTACTAGATGAGTACCAACATTAATTAAAATAGAAAATATTTTAAGTTGTGGCATATGCAAAATATACAGTTCTGAACTGCAGAATAGTAGTTTTACTGTTTGAGCCTGAGAACACTTATAGAAAGAATGCAGAGAATCCTAACTTGCAAAGAAGAAAAAAATGCATGCTAACAAACTTATCTTAGATAAGTTCAACCAATTATATATCTCCCCTCCAGTTTCTCTTATAGCAAATGGTTTACAATGAAGTATACGAAGCCCGCAGCATGAAAAAGTATGATTTAAATGCATTCCTCTTCATTTCCTGTTTCTAAATCTCGTGAACCATTTGCAGTTTCTCACGTGAATTGTTCTAGATTACTTTCTGTATAATTTTGACTTAAAATCMTCTATCTGTATCCTACCCACTAGCAGTTTATTGTGCATTTAAATCATTATGACTGGAGATATAGGCCACATGGCCACATGTGCTCTGGTTGGATCAGTGTCTCAGTTATGAGATATCCCTATATATTAATCTCAGATTTGTTTTCCAGTGTTGTTTTTCACCTCTAACTTACCCACAGGAGCAAAATGCAAGAGCGATGACAACACAAGCAAGTAATAAAAAGCTCTCCAATTGCTATTTTGTTTACAGTTGCCCAAAGGCAATACACAAACATACACACACAAAATTCAAAATTCCATGCTTGACCCAGCATATAAAACACAGTACTGAAGTAGAATGTTTTTGTATCTTTTCTTACCATCAGCTTTGCTTCCCTCCTCCACCAGCAGCTTGGTTATATTGAGAAAGCCTTTGGCAGAAGCTAAATGGAGGGGCCTGTCTCCAACTTCCCCGCTTGCGTTCACATCAGCTCCAAACTTCAGCAAGAGGTGCGTTACCTAAACAGTTCATCAAGGTTAATTGGAAGAGCACATGAAAATACATCTTTTGGTAAAACCAAAAAGAAGATTGCATTGGTTAACATTATATGTGAACATCTTTTAAAAACAAGTGAGCCTTGCCAAGCTCTGCCTGCGGTACCACCGGCTGGCGTGCGCGCCGAGACACAGGTCACTCATTGCAGAAGGACACTCCACCTACAGGTTGTGCTTCGAAACTCCTAAATCTCCCAGCATACAGACTCCTTTCTGCCTCCAGGAGAGGCATACTTTCTGCCTCCAACCAAGAAAGGCATGGGGAATGCCTTGTGCAAGGCAGCTCAGATCCYGCAGTGCTTTTCACCAAAAAAAAAGGAATATTGCAGGGCAATTGACTGAACTGCTAATAAACCATGTCCGAATAATCTTTTAGCAAAGGGAATTGGGCCGTTTGATGTCAATTTTGGTCAGAAGTTCTGTATACTTTTTAGTAACTCCATGACCTGCCTAAATGCAACAAGCAGATTCCTATGGAAAGTTAGGCCCTGCAAGGCCTCAATTTTTCCATTAATTTGAAAGTGGTAATAATTTAATCTGTGAATTCCAACACAAACCATTATAATTGCCATTTAATTATCACTGGCAAGAGATTGTCATTTTCTTAGAGGTATTTAAGTCAATATTCTCACACGCCTTAAGCAATCTCTGAAATGTGGGATGAAAAACAAGCATCAAATGCAACACGCTTCTGTGCCCAAGTCTGCTTCTGCGTTATCAGAGCTGTAGATAAGTGTTGCTTTCAGGAGGTCTAGGGGGAGGGCACCAGTTCTTGCTGGGCTYCAGCACTGGGGATGAAAGTATAGAGATTATTCAGCCGCTTAAACAACCAGGGTTTGCTTAGGAAGACAACTTCTGTATATGTGGCCTTTCCATACTAAGCCCCTCTGGAATACAAATGGAAAGTACATGACAAGAAACCTCYGTTTGTCTCCGTGTCTCAGGGCTCCGCTCTCCCGCATTTCCTGCATTCAGTTACCTGTTCACGGCCATAATAGGCAGCAATGTGCAGCGGAGTGAAAAAAACGGCGTCCTGAACGTTCACGTAAGCTCCGTGCTGCAAAAGGATATCGACGGCCTAGAGGGACAGAAACAAAACAGTTGGCAAGGAGAAGCCCCAGATGTGGCTGACTAGCAAAGCCAGAATTTAAAACCTTACCTCACCAATGTAAACAAAAAGCCTCAAACAAGCAAGCTATRATGGGGAAGAACAACCTACAAGATGTAAAAGTGATTAACTTACAGTACTTGAGCTGAACACTGAATGTCACTGATGCTTTATAAATAAGCCTGAAAATGTATTTGCCAGTAAAAACAACCAAAAACCAGAAAAAGATACTGTATTTGTGAAGGAAGAGGCACAGAAATGACTGACTGGAGTATATCAAAATAGCCTTTAATTTTCTTTTAAGCATTATGAACAAAGGGCAGTAAACATATCAGAGTTTTTGGAAACAAATAAAACAAAATGAAAGACTCTTTTAAATGTAAATGTATTCAGGTAAATCCTCTAGCCTAATTCCCTCAGCGTGCAAAGATTTCTTTGTATTTTAGAAGATAATAGCCCTTCGACTTCAATAAATAACCCTAAGTGTTTCCTTTCAAATTGGCTCTTTTTTATTCTTTCAGGAAGCCAGTGTTTTGGTTGAACAGCTATTAATTATGAAATACTGGCCCTCTGAGCAGCTGTCAAAATGGAGGCCTGAATGAAACCACTCTGGGTTATTTATTGCAGCCTACGAGTCACTAATTTTCCCGCAGTACGAGCAGCGCTCCGTGTGCGCAGGGCTCGTACGGCACCTTCCCCAGTCACAGCATCCCAGACCCCAGAATGGCCGAGGTTGGAAGGGACGTGTAGAGCTCACGTTTCTCCCCATGTCTGACTGTGAGCACGAGGCACTCGTGCTGACATGCCGAGCCGTGCCCAGTGCCCGCTGGCTTCCATCACCCCGCGAGGCTGCCGGCTGCAGGCCTGCCCTGGCTCCGGCCGTGCAGGCCAGGCTCCTGCGGAGCCCAAGGGCTGCAGCCGGGCACGGCGCTGCGCAGCGCCCTGTGCAGGGCACCGCAGCGCTGCAAGGACCAGCCTGCTCTCGAGACACGCCTGGGAGCCAAAGGTTCTTCCTGCTGTCCTACGAGCTGCTGTTCAGCACCTCGGGAGTGCAGRTGGGTGATGGGGAATGTCAACCTTCTTCACCAAATTCTGTTCTCCAGAAGCTACAATTTCTTAGGAGCGAATTACTCCGTGACTTAATGGCCTCATTGTCAAGTGAGTCATTTTAACTTTGACTCTTAAATAAATTCCTATTCTGAAACTAAAGTTATTGCTGTGGGACCTGCAGCTTTTACAGGTATATGGATAAAACTTCTTTGGATCAGTCTGATTTTATTCAAAAGGTAGATTCACCTGGGAATCTATCGTGGAGCTTCAAGTTGAGGAACCTGTGTTGGGCAATGTGGTTTCACCTCTGATGATAAACAGGAAACTAGATGAATTTTGACACGTTTTTCCAGGCCATACAAATGACAACTGTGCCACCTACTTTGTGATCTCCTGCTAAGAGGAAAATTGTGACTCATGTTAAACAATCTTCACCTCATATAAATAACAAAATGGGGAAACAGGGACAAGCCTGAGCATTTCAAAAAGAATCCATCTTTCTCAGAAAGACTGCAATCAGAAAACCCTGAATGTTGGAGGTCATGGAGTATGATGGAGTGATGTGTAAGGCTAAGACTGACATCAGAAAGCAGAGGCAGATGCAGAAAGCTGCTTATGCAAAAAGAACTTCAATACTTAGGCAAAGACCAAACCCAAATCCTCAGGGAACAGAGGGTGAGCAGGGGTGCAGCTCCTGGTCCATGGGAGATCTGCAGGCTGCAGAGCAAGCAGCTCGTGCTGACTTTAGAGGCATTGCAGTGCATCAGCAGAGCTGAAAACTGGCACCACTCAGCTGCGATCGGCAGGCAACATCATTGCCCAGATTAAAAAAAATAAACAGGAAAAGAAATATCTGTGACCTCTTGATGCCTCAGTGTGATTGGGAACCATGAGCCTGGATTTATCGAGGGTAAATCATGTCTGATCAACCTGAGTTGATCTTACTTCGTATTTTTTCTTGAAGTTCTTTTGTGACAGGTTTACTCAGAGGCTTTTTGAATATTCAAGTCAATTATGCTCACTTCAAAGACAGACTATTAATTAAGCTACTCTTTGAAGGCYAGAAGGAGTCAACAAAATAGAATATAAGATTATGCCAGGGCTTCATCTTTTGGACAAGCAGGAGATAATAATTCCTCTAAGAAAATAAAACCAATGATTATTGATTTTTTAGAAGGCAAATTAAAAGAAAAACAGCTTCAACAACTAAGTCATATGCACTTGTGCTAGAGACTCCATACTGACCTATGATAAAATACCTAAAGAAGTTGTCATGGTTTGGAATTCCTTTACGGCAGAATTCCTTTATTAATTAAGCTATTAAAATTAAAAAAATATATAGTAGTGCTAATTTCCTAATTCTCTGTAATTCAGCAAATGTGGGTAGATAAGTCATGTTCTGCGAAGTGTCTTTGCACAAAATTAGTACAACTCTTAACTCTCTGTATATCTATAAGAATTTATAATAAACCTTGGCGAGAGTGAATTAAGAAACTTCTAAAGAGGATTCTGAATGTTTTAGATATAACTTACTGATGAATGTACAATTGTCTTTCTGAGGGAAAGTTTAACGTTTAATGAAATATTTAATACATTCTCTCCTGTAAGATATAAGGACAGATGCTTTCAGCGATAAGCTTTCATATTTTGTTCTTAGCTATTCCAATAGATAAAGCCCAGATTACAGAAAGAATCAATAATGAAAGATGCAGGTGTCTAGAAATACAGTGCTCTCCCCAGGATTGCTTTTGCTAAAGGGCAGCAGAACCAGATTGTTTTCAACTATACATAAAATAGTTTAAAAGTTCTTGTACACTGTAGTCTACACTTTAAGGTAACTTTTCTGGGCAAAGAGATGCCCGTGAATTTAACCGCAGTAGTAATAAGAGTACTACTAGCAGTTCTAAGGGGCCCCATTTATTTTGACTCCTAGCTTAAATGTGGGTCATGCTATATAGGGTATTCTTGGGCAGTAAAAAGCTGGCAGTGCTTTCAGACAAGTCAGCACCATGAAGTTAATGAAAGCTGCTACTGAACCACAGCTGAGCACTTCTTTAGCTGTGCTGCCAAACACGCTTTGGCCACGTCCTCAGCGTCGGAGACACCACCTGGGCCGGGAGGTTCCCAGGTACCTAAGGGACCCAGTTTCATGGAGAAACATTTCACCAAGAGTGAAATTCCAAAGAAAGGAATTGCAGAATTTTAGTCTTGCTGGAAGTCCTAAAGACTCAAATAGCTAAGATCTAAATCCTCAAACATAATTATGTCCAAACACCTTTGAGCTGCCCAGTACATTTAACCGGTCTCACAGGCAATGCCTTTGCTCTCGGCCAGCCCCTCTCACACCTCTTGCCCTCTGCATCTCTGTCTCTCCCCCTCCATCCAAGTCAATCCCTATCCCCTCGCCGCCTGCCCCTGCTGATTCTCCTTTTCCAATGCACATTATGCTGGAAGGGGGCAGGCCAGTATGACCATACTGTGCTGGACAGTAGCTCATCCGACCCAACATCATCTGCTCCATGAAGCTGTGGAACTGTCTGACTTCAAACATCGCTGGGGAGAAGGGAAGGAAGCACCTCTGTGCCTCCCCTGCAATTTCCCTCTCTCATTCCTCAATTATAAAACAAGCCACATCAGCTAGAACACCTTTCCTTTTTGTGCCAGGTAAGGCGAAGGACTAAGATGCAACATGAGKGTTAAATGCAGGGAAGGAGAGGAGAAAACGGGGACTTTGTGAAATTGAGCTCCTGCTGTCACTAGGTGACTGACTGATTCAGTCTGACTGCCTTCACTTGACTGATTTCAAGTGAAGACAGCAGGTGACCAACGAACCTTGGTAACACACGACTCGCAAGCACGAGGGGATCCCTTCCGTGGGACCGGCCCCCTCCTCCCCAGCCGTTCCCTGCGACGGGCACCTCCACATTGCCTGCTCTTGGGTTGGCAGCTGGCAAAGGAGCAGGGCTGGATGGTGCTGCCGGGAACCTGGGTCCAGCCCTGGCAGCCCCGCAGGCGGGAAACGCAGCTCGAATTCCCGGGCTGAAGGAGGCCACGGTGCTGGTTAGCCAGCACGGCAGCACTGCACAGCACGTCCATGTGATGAGGCACATGCATTATTTATGGAGCAGTGACCTCGCTGGGCTGGAAACATTTCATATTTTCAAAATAGCGGATTTAATGAGATATTTATTAAACTTGTTTAGTAATGGCTCTAACATGTTTTCCAGCTTATATAATATTTTTTCATTAATTTTTCATTCTTTCCATTGAGAGCTCCAAGTTCTATTTATAGATAAACCAAGCAAACAGCATAGTTTTGGTAAAATATGACATTAAATCAGAGCAGATGAAATATTTATACACCTCACTGCCTCAAAGGAGTTGAGCATCTCATTTGTAGCAATGGCCTTTGGCAGCCTCATTTGTGGAGGTGACTGCCCTCGCGGTCTGCAGTGTGGGGATGCAGCAAGAGGCACAGAACGACTACCCAGGAAAGGGGGAACAAAGCTACTTTTTCCCACTTCTCTCTGCCTTGCTTTTCATACACTCAGTCCTCTTCTGTAGCCACAGCTTATACTGAACAGGTCGGTGTGTGCACCTCTGCTACTTATGTATTAAATGTAATTATCTATCTTATTTGAATGTCAAAAAAACATTTCTTTTTCTTAAATGTATACAATTTTCAGGGTTTTTAAACAAATAGTACATATTGCCATTACTGATATTACTGATATTACTGATATTCTGGATTGGCCTAATCTTGCTGAGGATATTCTCAGCTGACAGACAAGCTCAATTACATCAGGAAATAAAGCAGCAGCTTGAATTGCAGCTAGAGCTCTTCAGTGCCCAGACTGGCAGAGGCACCAAGCGAGGTGCGGAGACTCCTGCCCAACCATGGGGAAACTTCTGATAAAGACCTGGTCACTACTAAGGAAGGAGTAACGGGACTTTTCAAAACCCTTTGCAGTGAGTGACGTCTTTGCAAATCAATGGCCTTATCCTTGCTGGATGGGGAGCTCCCTGTTTTCCCGTGAGCTGAGTGGAGCTGAAGCTGTGCAACAAGGAGCGGGGCCCCTTCCAGCGTTTACAGCTCACAGCCCGGGCATTTTTATAGCTTCACACCCTGCTGCAGAGCACTTCATGTTTCCCAGTTATTTCCTTCCTCATTCTAACAATTCTGTTCTGATAGACACTTGCTCCATGTTTTCTACATCATCTTACATTTTACATTATAACTTCTTAAATTTTTCTATGGAAATGCAATGTTACTGAAAATAATTATCCCCAATTTTGTGACTGTACAATACGGGGGAGGGCCCTGCAATACAGGAGCGTAACAGAGAAAGCTTCTAAAGAATGATCATTTCTCCAACAAAATAGATTATTTTAAAATATTTTTTGTCCTGTCAGTATATTGGTATGTAAAATTTTCTATATCCATATGCGTAATAAATTGTATGAGTGTGTGCGTGCACATGCGGGTAGGCATGTGCAGAGTGACTGAAACTGCATCAGACTCCAGAGCTGTGTCCAGGAGCAAGCTCGCTGAGCGCCGTAACTTGGGGCCTTTCTTGCTGCAGACAGACGGTTTCCTCTCTTCTGTCCAGAGCTGCATGGGTGCTTTGTTCCAGTCACCCAGCCAAACTCTTGTATTTGAATTTATGAGTCTATGTAAAATGTGCAAATGAATTCATCGCTTGAATGTAATTATTAATATCATCTGCATTTCCTTCTTTCTACTATTTATTCTTGCATTCCTAGACGATTCTCTCTCCTTAAAGGAATCTGATGTTTCTGTCTCCATAAATTTAGCTCTCTGCATAAGTCAAAGCTTTTACCCATGCAGAGAACAAAATGTTTATTGCTTAATGGGCCCAAAGGAGCTAAAAGGAGAAGTACCTGTATTCATGAGTGTTTACAGCCATAAACCCTTCATTATCAAGGTAATTTTGCACCAGTATTAAATACTTGAAGAGATTAAAAAAAAAAAACACACTGAGTGAGCTGTTGCCAGGGTGACAGAAATGAGATGATGTGGGAACGATGGAACGGAGGTGCTAAATCCTGGAAAAACAGATCCATAACTAACAGCACATTTAGAAAAGGATTACAGAGGGAGGCCTTTGGAATCTCATCATTCTCCACTCCCCAGGAAGAAAGAAGGAGAAGGAATTTTTAGGRAAAAAATTGGAGATGGGAATCTCCAATGCATACAAGATTCATCAGTATGGACATTTGAGATTTGGACTGCACGTGACTTGCCCTGGCAGTCGCTTTCTTAGCCCTGATATGAACTGTCACACAGCTCAAAGATGAGAACCTCTGTCCTCTCTTGAAGTAAAAACCACTGAGCTGCACAGCTGACAACTGACATCTGTAAGATGGAATAAAATGTATGGGGCTCCTTTACACTCAGGCAAGACCATATTGAGAAGCCTCTCAACACATGCAGATCCAGGAAGAGTCCTGACATGTGTGGGTGACTGTGCCCCATTGTGTTAACATGGGACACAGTCTCATGTTAACTAGTTAACACTTTTGACACTGAAAGCAATGTTGTTGATTACCAAGGCTTTAAAGATAAATATATAAAGACATGGGCAAATAGATCTAGACTCTCTATACATGTCCATATGTAGAAACATATGGACAGATATGGTTGTCCCTATACAAAGGTACAAAAACCAGTAAAGTTTAGCTATGTGAAACCAGTAATGAGTTTTGATTAGTACCAGTTTAAAACAAAACAATGTTGTTGATGAACACCAGCAGTGAGAGCATTCTCTGCATGGAGAAGGAGAAGCGCACCTCGTGGTGACCCGCTATGGTGGCGATGTGCAGGGCCGTGAGGGCTCCGTAGCCGACCTGCTGGATGTCTGCTCCGCCGTGCAGCAGCGCCGTTAGGAGCTCTGCATTATCCTGAAAGGCACGGACAGCACCACGTTACTGTGGGCACAGCTCTGACCACTGCACCGGGGGGCTGAACAGAGCCACAAGGCTCCATCCCATCCCAGATACCACTCCAGAAGCAGTGGAAGCTTGACGTGGGCACCAGAGGCTCCTCTGTAGCTATACTGAAGCCTCTGTTTTCTAAAATGGTCACTTTACTTGATTTTGTATCTTTGAAGATGACTCATTCTCTGAATCATTATTAAGTGCTCATACAAACTGTTTAAATGTCAAAACAAATATATTGTCAAACACAGAAGATGACACTGGGATTTCCCCGGATAAATACACAGAATGTAAGCTAAAGTTTGAACTGTGTGCATATTTTTCCTATTACTTTAATTCTTTGCTGTCACGCAGAGAAGTATTTCTATCACTTCTCTCCATATACCACCAGCAATGGGTATCATCCAATTACAGTGACAAAAATAATTTAAGAAAATCCATTAAGCGTCTCGATGACTTGGCAATACAATTGTCAGCAAGCTCTCCTCTACAGAGAGTGTTAAAATTAAGAGAGGAGAAATGAAAACCCGTGTTTGGGGCAGTGGCAGAGCTACTGGGAGCAGTCGGGCCCTCCTTCTCACCATCACTTGTTCCCACTGCACCAAACGGAGCTTTGTCGAGTTCCACTCTCTGGGATCTGCCTTGAGGCATCACCAGTCCAGGGAAGAGCCTTCTCCGATTCCCATTCCCTGCTCGACTCACAACTTCACATCCCTCCTGTTATCAAATAGCTCTGGCCTTGAGCGTGGGACTTGGTGGCACAATGCACTGGATACTCTCTCTAGCCAGGGAAGACAGCCTGAGCTCGGAGCTTCCTGAAGGGCTCTGTTCCAGGCACCGCCTCCGACTAATTTTCCTAGTTCTGTTTTACAGGGATAACATCTCATAAAGTATTTAACTACAGAGCAGAAAAAATCAGTAAGTTTCTCAGAAAGTTCTCATCATGCAAGCATTTTGTTTCTGAGATACCTCTATGTTGCTTTATATTTTCTTAGGGAACTACAACATGACAAAAGTTGTCACTGGGCAACTAAGGGCAAATCCTGAACACCTTCTAACCACCTGATTATTACGCAAAACARAGGGCAAACCATCCGCTCTTCTTTTAGAGGAGAGTGACGGAGGCTGTGACAATTTCTGCTGTCTCTGGAATTATTTGGTTTCAAGGGCATCTACCATATGAGGATTCTCACACAACACAGGGTGAGCAATGGCCCTGTGAGCATGAGAGGGCCTAGGCTGGCACTGGGGCCACCCAGCCTGACCTTCCGTGAGCTCCAGTCTTCTGCTCAAGCCACCCGTGCCCCAGCCCTGAGCACCCGCCTGCGACGGGGCAGTGCCAGCTGCCACGAGAGAGCTGTGGGATAATGTTAGGCCAGCATATGGCACTGCATCCTGGATACTGCTTGGGCATTAATAAATAAAAACAATAATGAAGAAGAAGATGAATACTGCAGCTGAATGTAAAACTCAAGGAAATTTAAAAAAACGCCAAAACATGAGAAATTATTTCTATAAATAGCTACAGTAGCAAAAAGAGTACTCCTCTATCTTGAATTAAATCACATGACTTAATCAATATTTGTATAACCACATCTTATCTTCGTGAATGACAGTACAAAAGCACGTGCTGATTTCCTGTGCATGGGGTCTTTATAGAGCATTTTCTCTGCACTGTGATTGTTAAAACTCCTGAGTTCGGATTTCTCTTCATCATTAAATCAAATTAAATTTATATTTATATTATTTACCTTATAAGCTGCCAAGTGCAGAGCTGTAAATCCATTCCTGGTTAACCTGGATGGGCGCAGTCCTTTTAGCATAAGAGTTCTGATATGTGATTTGTTACCTTTAAAACAAAAATTGTATATCAAAGTCATTTACAGAAAAGGACATGTAAATGAAGTAAATAAGAGCTTCACATGAGAGCTAAGCATTTGGAAAGTATCAGAACTACATGGGCCTTCTGTAGCTAAGATCACACTGCAACTCTTCCTTCCTCTATTACATGATTCAGAACACACTTGACTGCTTCTCCTTGTAACTTCCTGCAAAGTGCAAGGCCAGCGTGAGGAAGCCTTGAGGTGAGCTTGAAAACAAATGAGTAACTGATCTGCTGAGCCGAGGCAACCGTAAGAAACACTCAGACATCCTCAAAACAGGACCCGCATCCTCGATCACTGAGCATTAGACAGTCTCCTTACTCACTGGGAGAGCACATTGGGTCATGTATTTATTCACCGTTTGTTCACACCTCAGTAAGAAGGATTTGACAAAGATGGTTGAACTTGTAAAGAAAAAATCTCCTTTTTAACATCTGAAATGTACTGCAAAGAACTCCCTACACTGGAGGGAGATTTAACAGTCTCTGGTTTCTCAGATGCTTATCGAGTTGCTGGTCCTTTGGGGAGCTGACGGCTGCTCTCCTGCTCTGCACATCATTTCAGGGCCGGTGCTTCCTACGGAAACGACTGACTCCCAGTAGCTTTGATACCTGTCTGATGCACTCTAATCACCTCCAAAACTGTGGCTGTCTTCTGAACCCTTAGGACAACCCTTAGTCAACAAGTACAACAGAGGGCCTAACACCTTCCTCCCTCCATGAGGTGTTCACATACAGGACACAATTCATGTACGTTTTCCTAAAATCCCACCAATTGCTCTAATGCTGCCAACCACTGATGTCATCTTCTGATAGGATCCTGCACTCTCTAGCTTAAGAGTAAAGATCTGACTGATTTTCACCAGTGTAGGATCAGGTTTTCCCTGCTTATGGGAGCTGGACTATGATTAGCAAGACATTTATGCACATTATCCTTAAGCATTCTGCACAGCTGAAACTCTGGGGTAAAACACTCTGCTGCTTTCAAGCAAGTTCTACCACTGCAATGTGTGCACGCGCCAAGGACACACTACCCGACCAAGACAGTGATCCCAGTGAAACACTCCACCATTCAGAAAAATGACTGAAGTTGTTTGACACTTTTTTCTTGGATACTGTGATTGCTACCTGCAATAATCCTATCAGATGATATTTTTCACTTGTGCATTTAACTTACTCTTCTTGAAAGCAATACTCTTCATGAAATACAATATAGATATTTTCATTATATTAGGAAAATAAGTTTTGTGTGTGGCAAAAATTTGTTAAAACTCACTCCCTATCTTGGAGTCAATACCATGTACAAAATACAGAAATGTAGAGAAATGCTATAGAATGAGTATGATTAACATACATGATTAGCATATATTAATATATACATGTAGCATGGAATTYTGAATTAACTGAATATTAGTTGAATTAGATGCAATTGAAATAATTCACATTATCTACTAAATCTATTTCCTAGATGAAAGAATCAGTTATAGCAGAGTTCAGTGTTAACTGATTCAACCACGTTGGGAACAGAGTTTAGAGAAATGCCTACGGAGGCTTATCCAGCTGTCAACAAGTACAACGCAAAGAAAGAAATGGATTAAAAATATAATGTTCCTGTCAGTTATTAGACAGAATAAATCACTAGCCATGTAAATAACAGGTTTAGAGAACATCAGATTTCCAATACTCACCCCCACATATGCAACATAAATGAAGAAGAGAGAGCCCATTTTCTGTGCGGTAATTTAAATTGACTTTGCAGAAGGCTTCATCAGAGCTGGAAAAAAAGAGATTTTACACATGATTACAGCTTTCATTTTTTGGCATATTTTCATTCATCTGGAAAATTTTTAGAAGAGAAATCTCAGTGTAACTTTTTTTGGAGACAGAGAACTAAATTCGGACCCCTGCTTCTCCACTGTAAATCTAGGAATATTTTACTGGCACTATAGATTAATCCAGATGTGTTTTTCAGTAAATTAAACCAGAATCTAACTCGTATTGTCTCCTGACTAATCTTGCTATTGAGTCACAGTATATACATGTCAAAATGTGCTAAATTAGGAAAAAAAAAAAACTAAGCTGTCAAAATACCCAGAAAAAAGTTAAGACTTTCAGAAATCAAGTTTATCTTATGTGATCATAGGAAGGATATATATGATCATTCCATTGAAACATGTATATGGGAACACTAAGGAAGAACTTACACATACACTTCTGGTCTTTCTTGCCTGTTTAAATTTTATAGATGTATTTCTGGCTTTCTCTAGAATTATATATGGGTTTCAACCTTGAATATACTCTAATTTCATGATTTTAGGACAGAATGGAGGCCCCCAAATCCCCAAGTTACTACTGTACATAAACTATCAGCATATAAGGCTTGGTTTTATCCTCCTGCCCCTTGCATCCTGCCCTGGCACATTCAGGCTTTGTTCAGGGATGTGGAGAGGGAGCACGGAACTCGGAGGAGTCTGTGGGACACAGTGTGAGTGCTGCCGTGCCCAGCAGCGAGGCCTGGACGCCTCACCGTGCCCTGAGAGCGCAGCCAGGGGGAACCACGGCAGTAACCTGGCGTGGCTCGAGGGGAGTGTTTCCAAAGCATTTTAATGGATGAAGTAGCCTTTCCAAACATGGCATTTCTGGTTTAGGATTGGCAGCTGCAATGGGATACGGAGTCCTGTGAAGGTGTGTGCCAGACCTGAGAGGGAACAGGAAAAGCACCAGAGCAGAAGGTATCTGGGAGAAAGTCTGTCCCTCAAAGACGCAGCAAGGACAGCCCGAGCTCGGCACCGGAAGGAATAGGAACCCATAATGTTCAGGGAACAAGTGAGTTTTTATAGCTCTGGTTTTCGGCCTTGGTTTACTGCCCTGGAATGTGATACATTATAGAACTTCAAAACTATTTATAGATGCTCATTTTGAGTTCCCATTAACTTCTAGTGAAATGTTTCTGGTTTTGATATAGGCAATTAAAGTATTATAGTTCTTATCCACATCCTTCCAAGGTGAGGCATGTTTGCACATAAAACTCTCTGACAACTAAATGCCACTTATGCACCCTGACACTGACAATATGAAGCTCAATTTAATGTTTTATTTTCTTACACATTTTTGATACACTCTGCTACATTTTTATATAGCTTAATGATTTTATGGTGCTTTCTGGGGCACAAAAAGATGAAGTGAATAATTAAAGGGAAGTAATTATTATTAATACATTTTGAATACTATTCCCTTTAAATAGGATGAATACCAGTTCTGACTCATTAAAAATGACATTCGGCATTTGTATTTGCTACTCTTACTTAGCAGAACATGGGGAATATACATAAAAGTATTGCAGTCCTTAGAGTTTTAGATTCATTAAGTTCTGTTCTTCTTCTCCCTGATACACATGCCAAGCTCCAAAAACAAATTCATCAATAAAATAAAGCTAGAAATATTGGCAATAAAGATAATGGATAATAAACTAAAGATGCCTCCAGGGTTACAGACAGACATGAACAGTGTCTTTGTGCCAGATTGCAGGGAATGTAACTGGACATCTTTATTTCCCATGTTAAACAACCACCATACCAAGGGAAGCCAAAGATGCCTCTGCAGCTAGAGCTGCACCCATCCCCACTTATAAAGTCCTACCCAAACAGACACTGTAACTTGCCTCGGAAAACAGAGTTACAGCCAGGTAAATAATTACCCTGCCTGAACGTTTTAGCTCTTGTAGTGAAGTCTCTCTGTTTTCTTTTAGCACAAATTGCCTTATTACTGCTCCTACAAGCTTTCTAGCTAGTTACATTTTTGAAACTCAACTAAATGCAGAAATTGTCAGTATTTCTTGTGGAGATTGCAGACTTCAGTCTGCCCATAGAAGTCTTTCCCCCTTTCAGTACAGCTGTGATTAGACATTCCTGTTTAGCAGAATACTTCCATTTGTATATATATAAATCCATCCTGATAGAGCAGCACTACTAAACATACTTAACATGCTTATAGTTCCAAGCATCTTTAGCACTGCTCTCCTTTAAAAGCCAGAACCCTGTCTTTACCTTTGTTCTCTGGGTTGACAGTATTGAATTAATGAGTTATTCCAATTTCTCATAGAGTTTTTTTTGGTTTATTTCTCTTGTTTCTCTCAGATAAACTAAAACAAAAAAATCTGTCCTGAAAGAACATTTCATTAATGGTTCATTATGTGTTATCATCTCAGACCAGGAATAAAATCTGTGTTTTTATATTGTTTTTCATGAAATTTGCCAATAGTGGTTTGGAAATGCTGAAGCTGCAAAGGAGGCACTGCAGCTTGTGGGAGCTGCAGCTCCTCGTGCTGCTGGCTGCAGCGCTCAGGGAGCTCTCACACGGTCCCGGCTATGGTGCCACTGCAGGTCCCGGTCCGGGGGCCCAGCTATGGCGCCACTGCAGGTCCCGGTCCGGGGGCCTGGCCATGGTGCCACTGTGGGTCCCGGTCCGGCGGGCCTGGCCATGGTGCCACTGTGGGTCCCGGCCCGGCGGGCCTGGCCATGGTGCCACTGTGGGTCCCGGCCCGGCGGGCCCAGCCATGGCGCTGCCCACGCCTCCCCGCTGGACTGGCTGCTGGCACCAGCCACCACCGCCAACAGGGCAAGGAATCGCCCCACAAACCTGGATCCCGCATAGACTGGACTCCTAAGTCTGGGGCAGCTCCAGCTGAAATTTGGTACTTGCAGAGTTAACGTTTGCTCTGTGAGGAGCTGTTTTTTCTCACAAAAGCTATCTTTTTTTGAACTGCCTTTTCTACCAGAAAGGTCATTCTGATGGAAACTCCTGGCTGTCTGTAATCAATACTGAGATTTTTATGGTATTCAGTTCATTGCATTAAGAACTGGGATCATCTGAAAAGGGCATGGACCTGATAAAAGCAAAACATTATGTTTAATTACAAATATACAAATTGGACTTATTTCTCCAAGTTGTGTGTGTGCCAGTGTAACCTATTCTTGCATCTGTCTAGATTTACATAGACATTCCTTAGGTGACATGGAATCAGTACTAAGGAAACATGGCCTTTTATTTCCTAAATACAAACTGTTCTGCTATGGAACATTTTATTCCACACATTACAGTCATATTTACTTCTCTTTAGTGATAGACCCTCATTTACCATTTCTACCTAAGTAAGCCAAAAGATGTTTGCCCCTATATAAAATGTCTTTGTCATGTATGTTCTTGCTCCATGTAAATCTTCTTCAGCATGTTGTGATTAATGATAGTACTATAAAACCCATCTATTCTTCAGTTTTTACACAAAGATAAATCCCAAAGTGTGGGAAACAGGTTCTTTTAAACAACTTGTCTTTGGTTTCAAAACATTAGGTATGTAGGGGTGCACACACTGATTCACCGTGGTGGCTGCACTGTGGTTTGCTTTGTTTGGAGGACAAATTTGGAAAGTCTCAAAATCAGTAATTATTGTCGCACTGTAAGGCATGTCTCCAACTTCAATTTTACATTACAGTCTATACTGACATTCCTAGCTTTTCATGTGTGGTCAAAAATCCTTTAGCTATATGTTTAAATATTATTCTTCTCTCAGATGGAAAAATGAAAAAAAAAAAGGAAGGTTTCAGTTTGGCCTTCTCCTAGGAATGTTCAATTTCAATAATACTTAAATTCTTACACCGGAGAACAAAATGTAATGTTTTAGTAGCAAAAGACTGCAAGAACAGTTTTACATGTTAAACTTGTAATCCATATTGAAAACGAAAATTCTGGCCCATTAGCCTGGACTCAAGGCCCAGTTTTATCTGTGTGACCTCCTAATTCCTTCTTGAAGACATTGATGCATTTCTGGAGAGATCAAACTATGACTCTTTATTTGTAGGATGGTCTTTTTGGTAAAGCATTGCCCTAACAACTCGGCAATAATCTAGGGACGACGTTTATCCAAGACAAGGAATCACAATGGCCATGCCAGTTAAAACCACTAGTATAACCTACCACAGGACAGTTTCTCTACCACAGGACAGTTGACTCCGTGATGTGTGCATGCATTCCCAAAGCGCACAACCAGGATTATGGCACTCCCTTCCTTCTGCTATGGTTTGGCTCCTCTGCTTTATTGATGTTACTTATCTTTCAGGGCCGGGTTTTAACAACTACCCAGTGTTTCCAGGCATTATATTACCATAGACTCCTTAGCCTACAACAACTGTRCAGTTTCTCAGTCTTAACTTATTTTGACAAACAGATCTGTTTAAAAGATAATTTTTTTTCTAGCATGCATTTCAGGGATTAGATGCCGTCAGAAAATAGCTACTGCTACTGTTGAAAGCATTCCTACATAGCCAAGATCAATTTTTTACATACGCAATATTTGAATTTTGGATTCTCACAAAATCTTACTGATTTGATCGCCTCTGGAGGAAGACTTGTTTGAGACCTGAAGCCACTGGCTGATTCTTCATGTCTGACTAAAACTTTTCAAAAATCTTTCTAGTGCAATATAATCAGTGTCATTAACCCACATGTCCTTCGGTGGGGAAAAGCAACATTCTTTATTTAAGAAGAAGAGTTTGTCTGACATTTTAGACACCCACATAAGGTGGTAAGACAGACACATAACCTGAACTGCTAAAGGTCAACTAAGCTTCAAGTTAATTATTTTTTTAAGGCCTAACTTAGGAATTAAAGACTTCACCATATACCTCAATGGTCTCGCTCATTGTAGGCTGGTGAACACACTTGCCCTGGTTTGTTAAGATAATTACTTTGCTTCTAACCAGGGTTAAAACCTAGGCAGGTGCTGAAGTACTTTACTGGATCAGAGCTGAAGTGGCCGGCACACTGCAGAATTGAGCCTGAGGTTGCTTTGCAGTTAACAGGTTCAAACAGTGATAAATTATGCTCCCTGAAAACAAGCATGATAAAACTTCGGGAGGCTTGTGATTTATTTCTGATTATAATTCATTTTTTCAGGTACATTTTATGTCTGAAATTATTTACTTGATCATTTGTTTAAATTAACTTACTGAAGTTGCTAAGCTGTGTGTTTTTGGTATTTGAGGTTTTCAGGTAATGAACATGCTGTTTGGTTCAGTGAATGTGGCTTTTAGCAYGAGCTGCCCTGGGAAAGCAACGGCAGTTACGAATTTGAAAGTCACTGTCAGAAGCTCCTTCGCTGGTCTATTTGTCTAATCTTTGTCGCTTCAGCACTATCCCCCTGTGAAGAAAAGGCTGGCACAAATGGAGAGTATACAACAAAATCTGACATCCCATTAAAGCCAATTCATTTCCAAAACTGCATACATTTGTTATAAAATGTTGGCACTGATAATTAACAGCCACTAATTATGGTACTATGCTGTGGGACTCTGGCCCAGAACTCTAAGGACACATTCCCAAAAATAGGCCTCAAAGAACAGGCATTCCATACATGCGAAACTCCCTCCACAAGAAAACACCTGAAACCCAAAATACTGTGTAATAGCACATACACCTTTAAAATACATTCACAGGCAGGTTGCAAGAATATTTCACCTGAAAACATGCTTCAGTTCTGCCAGTTCCTTTTCTTTGATCTGCAGGTCATCTTCTAATCGCTCTATGATTATAGCGTATGATTCACTAACTTTCTTCTTCCATTCATCTAACAACAACAAAAAATCCACTCATTGATAATACACTTCAAAACATAAAAAGCAAGAACAAATCAAAATGTCTCAGTAACCAGGAACTACAGATCTGATTTTTAAACATCCAATTATGCTCTATTTCAATGCAGTATTTTTCTTCTAAGTTATGAATGTTTAGTTATGATCATATAAAAGCTATTAAACAGTTCTTGATGCACCAGTAGATACACATATATTGATCTTGCAGACAGAAAAAATATACAAAACTTTATCAGAAATATTTTAATGCAAGTAACAGAAAGCTTAACCAACAATTGCCTTTGTTAGTTCTTATTTGCTATCAACTTAGACACAAAGCATAGAAAAGATGTACTTTTAAGGATTTGCTAATGAAATATGATTTAAATCAACTGATAAAATAAGTTAGTATGATCTTATGTCATAGTCTCACAAAATTTAGTTTATTAGTGTTTTTGTCTCTTTTCATATTACTMTGCATTTGCTTTGGGTTAAGCCATTCTTCACATAAACCAAGAACAATAAAATACCTTATCCTTGAACTACAGAGCAAGTTAGCAATGAGTTATTTGCTAAGACATCATTTGCTGCTTGTTGGTGGATGCCTGGTATGCTGTATTTAAAAAAAGGAACATTAATTACCCGTGCAAGTTTGGGTTGGTCTGGATTTGTAATTTCCCATTTGTTCAATGTATCTTCTTTGTTTCAGCAAAGTTCTTGCAGTAATATGACTCCTTGTTCAAGAGCAGTGACAGTCCTACTGAAAAATACTTTGATAGTCTCTGGCTAAAAATAACCTCTGTGCCAAATGGAATGTCATGCAACAATGACACGGAGCAAAACTGAGCGTGCTGTCAAGTGTAAAATAATAAAGGTACCTAATCAGTTGGTTTAAAAATCTACTGTCAAAATAAATTGCAAATATGCCAACAGAAATATGTTGTTTGATCTGTTGAATACCTAAACCAAGTGAGAAGCAGGTGATTTGGCAATTGGCCACCAGTCTACTAGGGAAAAAATAATTTATGAAGCTGAGACCCTAATTTACAAAGAATATCGACGGATCTGCGAAGAGTGTGGAGGGTCCCTAATTTAAATAGGCCAGTGATGACCTCAACGCATGACATTAAGATGTTTTTTAACATACAGGATGATTTTAGAACATCTGGGTTATTTTAATTGTGAAGTATAAAGTGTGTTGTGTCAGAAAATACTGGCATCTTACATTTTGATGGCATTTGTATGTGTTGCTATGTCAATGAAGTCTGAGTTAGTCTAGAAAATGAGTTTGCTGTCAGGAGCTCTGTACGTTTAGTTTGAATCCTGTCCTTAGCTCAAGAACGTCCATCCCCTCAAACCATGAGGCAGCAGCAGCAGCTCCACAGGCTAACGTTTCCTTAGGGTGGCTAAAGGAAGCACCTGGAGAACACTGGGCAACTCTTTCACAGTTAAGAAGAGCAAAGTTCCAGAGTTTGCTTTGCTGCTCTTCCTGCCCTATATACAATTTTTGCAGGTAGGAGCAAGCTCAAGCTGCTTTGTTTATATTTATATTCCCAGCAGATCATGCACTAGGCAGCTGTGTCTCAGCCATCTGCATGGATGTATTAATAAACACTGTGCTCAGTCTAATTCATCCTGTCTCTTAGCATTTTAGATTGGACCCAATGCCAATGTAAAGTGGTAAAAAGCCCAGGATGCAGCTAGGCTGGACAGTGCAGATGTGTCCTGTTTTACCTGTACATGCATCAAAGCAGGTTCTGTGCATGGACACATTCCTCTAAGAACCTCTGTTGAAGGACCTTGAGGAAAGAGGAGTTCCCTCTGGAGCATTACTATGAGAAATAGTGACCAAGAGGTTAGTGGATGAATAMTATCACTTTTCCCWTGCCTAAACTGTATCATCTCCTTTGTACTCTGATTAGCTCTAATCTGCACCTCTGTTTCCCACCTCTCTCCTATCTGTTTCCCYAATGGAATAATTTTAAACTTATTTTACCAATCACCATGGCATTCATGCTGGTTTCTCTATGTGCACACAGTTCTTCTTTTACTACTTTTCTAACTGCTTGCTATGCATATACCTGAATATTAAATACCTGTGTTTTGATTTATATATTTACAAAGCGTGTTCATCGACTTTGGCAGCTGTATTAAGTTCCTGGTTTTCTCTGAAAAAGAATTTCTTCTCAGACAAGGATTTCAGGCAATGATGTGTGCATAAAACACATGTATATAAAACGTTCAACACGCTGTATCCCAGTGCAAACAAACACATGAGCTTGCGACACAGCGTGCGCGCATCCCCTCCTTTGAACTTACACCCCAAAGCAGGGGTGCACGCGAGCAGCCTCGAACGGCTCTGACAACACCCCTGATAACAACCCCCCTGATAACAACACACCGTGATAACAACACCCCCAATAACAACAACACCCCGCGATGCGCGGCCGGGTATTTGCTGGAGGCCTYGGCCTCCTCCCACACACAGGCAGGGCTCCCGCACAGCCCCATGGCGGGGCCGCCTCTCCCATCACTCCCACTAGTTCAAGGCTGCCCATTTTCCTCGGATTTCTGACAGGCAGCCGGGGCCGCGTGGCCCAGGGCACCGTCTCGACGGGAGCGGGTGCATCCYGTGTGCATTTCTGATTTTTACACTGATTTCACTACATAAGCACTTCATTATTTTGTTACATTCGTGCAGGAGAGTGTTAATCTCCCTGAGATTTTTACCTGGGATTATCAAATGAGGTGGGGCCACTTCGAGGAGTCAGGTGGAGAGGAAAGGACTGTGCTGGAAGCCCTGCTCTGGAAGCCGCTGGAAGCTTCTGGAAGCCGCTGGAAGTTGCTGGAGGCCCTGGAAGCTTCTGGAAGCCATGGAAGCTTCTGGGAGCCCTGGAAGCCCTGCAGCCGCTGTAACCCCGGCAGCCTCCAGCGTGTGGGGGTCTCCGAGCTGCCGGTGCGTCACGGCAGGCGGCTCCCGCGCGGCGGAGGCCGCTGCTCCAGAGCTTCGGCTCATGGCGCTCGGGGCCGCGTCCTGGCTGTGCTGCCCCACGCCGCACGGGTGTCCTTGCTCCCCCGCTCTGYGACACAGCTCAGTGCTCCGCTGGACACTCCGCACTTCGAGTCCAGCCGGGGGCGGCCGGAATGGCCACAGAGGGCAGGGCGGAGGGGAAGGGGCAGCCAGCGAGGCCTGGGGCGGCCAGGAGGGTGCAGGCTCATTCACACCGGTGCTCTGGGAGGTCGTCTTTGCACTAGAAACCATAGCAAAGGAGGAAAACGCCCAAAGTGAGCAGAACTGGTGCTTTACCAGTATCTTGAAAGCTGCAGAGCATGGGCAGTCAGGAGTGATTGTTGAATATCTGAAACTAGGAGAAGAAAGACCAAAAATCAGTAGTAATCACAGAGACTGTTTGCAGGCAGTTTGCAAACAAATCAGGAAAAGGGAGATTGAATTGACTTCGGCGTTAGGCCAGTTCCAATTAGCATCTACACAATTAGAACTAAGAAGCTAAAAGCCATGTTTTCCAGCGCGCCTCAGTCCTCAGATGTGATGTTTACAGCACACTGAGCCGTACGCAACTCTTTGATTATTTTTTTAGAAGTTTTATGCTGGTTTTCTTTTATGCTTGGTCTGCGCAGCTGTCATGTCCAATCTTTTAAGCGTTCTGTGTGTAAAACTCTTTTCCCATTTCTGTTTGTAAATGTCCTTCTGGAGGAGGCTTTGCAGGATTAAGTCTTTTGAAAGATCTTTATTTCAAATTAATTCCTTTTCACTGAAAGAACATATCCATATCATTTATTTGGAGAGGCTGTAAGTTGCTGCTATCTATTTCAATATCATTCTGGTAACATTCAGATGTATCACAGAAATTGAAAAAGGCTTTAAAATAAAACACATTATTATGAAAATAAAGTACAAGAGATTCTATAGCCCGTATAATGAAACAGGTGTTTACAATGGCTTCTCTGTGGCAGTGAATGTAAAGAAGCCCTCAAAAAATAGTACGGCTATTTTTGCTATCACAATATTACAGCAGCATTTGCACGGGGATTAATCTCCCACATGCCATCTCCTGCTCGGTGCACACAGCGAGAGAAGAAGTGTGGCATTAGAGATGGAGGGGGAGGAAGAGGATGGAACCGCTGAGCTCCGTCACAGATAAACTCCCTTTCTAAGTCCAGAATGTTTCTTTTGAGATGCCAGCGATTTTTGGAGCTTGCTTCCTTTTGTCACTGTCCCCAACCCTTCTGGCACACATATTTTTCAGCTGCTCATTTTTTTTCTCTGCTCCCATCCTTTGTGTTCCTTTTTAAGTGCCCAATTTCTCAGATTTCAATTTCCTGCCTATAAGGTGACTGAAGTAATCCTCCTTTCTCAAATTTCACAGTATAATACATACAGTATGGCTAAATCTCTGTTCATTATAGCATGCTTTCAAAGCATTCAGGGAAATCATTAAGATGATGTTCGTTATGAGCCCTATTATTGCACTACACAGCAAAACTAATTAAATAAAGAAAGCTGACATGAATAAAATCATTAAACGCTCTTCCTGGCTTTGAGACTGAACCATCCTGAGCTGCGTTTCAGAGCAGTCAGTGATGTAGGGGCCATCCTGGTACTGCGTCCGTTTCCAGGTTTYGGCAGACGACCTGTGTCCTTAGAAATTCCTGCCTGACCCTCATTTTCAGCACTGCATCCTTCATTACATAGATGGGGGGAAAGTCATGGACCTGCACGTCAGGATGGTCTTGTTTTCAGAGCCTGACACGAGAAACTAGCAACCTCTACGTTAGGATAATCCTGCTGGTAAATTTTGCTCTATGGCCTTGTCTAAGTCCCTCAAGTGCCATGGGACACAATATCCCAGCTGGTAACAAGAGACGATTATTGTCATGTACCAGCAGCAGCTTGTGAAAATGAGAGATTAGCTAAAGGTTGTAAAATGCAATGTGAATAAAATAGATACACATGCGGTGTGCCAAATGCTATTATGTTGGGGAAGTTCCTAGTCTGGAGTCCTTTGGATTTTAGCAAGATAAGATCACACTATAAAATAGGCCTTGTTGAAAAGGCTAGAATTTTTTGTAGCTATAAACATGCACACTACATAAATAGCTGTAACACATACAGCAAAGAATTATATCTAAATAAAGAAATTATTTCTCAAATGTGTCATCAAGCATAACACACAAATACTGGCTCATCTGTCAGCTCCACGCACTCTCCTTAACAGAAATGCTGTTGTGTTAACTCAGAGATGACATTGCATCAACTACAGACCAAACATCCTCCTCGCCACTTCTCTGCAGCTCCAGGCTTCCTTTGCCTACGGAGCTCCTGTGCATCCCTTGCCGAACGGGAATTCATCAGCAGCACAAGGAGCGGGACATGAGCCAAGGCCGGGCAGCTCTGCGCCCTGGCTGCCAGGGTGCCCGCCAAGGGCCCTGCCGCACTCATCTTTGCTGCACGGATTAAATCACTGGAAACCTTCTTTCACCTTCCTTCACCAGCATGCTTGACAGGGGCCAAAACCTGCCCCCTGCTTAAATCCAAAGCAAATTCTCAATGACTTTAACAGGAAATTCATTCCAGGGTTTCTGATACTGTCCTAGAGCTGATGCAGCAAAATGAACAAAATCAGCTATGAGCTGCAGCTTGACAGGGTAAAGCCATGTTTCAGCGTTTAACATTCCCAATGAGAAATATGCCTTTTGACTACCAAAACCTTTCAGCAAAAGTCATTAAATGACAGTGGGTTCTACCAGCTCTTCACAGATGTCTGCCCTTACTGGTAGTATTACCATTACCAGTCTTCTTGCRCTCGTGTTCTTTATGGCATGGCCCACATTACAAATCCAGGTGTTTCAACATCTGTGGAATAAATTAATAAAGACCCTGTGGACATTAACTTTGCCTGATATTGACCTAAAATTTTGGGCAAAGTATTTAGTGCATGGATAGAGCAACATAAAGATTTGAAGCAGTCTCATGTTTCTTACCTAGCAAACCAAATCTACACTTATTTTGTTAAAAGTCTTGTTAAATTGGCTTTTTTTTAAACGTTTCGTGCCTCAAGATGCAAATGATTTCTTTCCCCTCAGGAAAGTGCTGAAGTGTTTAGCCATAAGCTGTTCAGCTCCGTCACATATCCTAAGAGCTGTGAATGAAGACACAAGCAGTGTCTGAGCAGACACTTCATGTTTTCAAATGCAAACATCATTTATTTAAACACTGGCTTTACTTTGGGAATGATAACAAACTGCATAGAACAACAAAAGACCATGCACTGGAAAAAATGATATTTTGAGCTACAATGATATGCAGGTCTTTTTTATTTTATTTTTTTGTACATTTCACATTTACATTGTCCATTTACATCATACATTTTAGACTGTGGAGCCCAGGATGCTTTCAGCAAGTATCTGCTGAAAATAACAGCTGTGGAAGGCGTCTTCCTCCAGCTCCTTGACGACAGCACTAGCATAAATAGCAGCATCCTCGGTGAAAGACACAGCTGAGCTTCCAGCTTGCCATCTCCCTAGCGCAATCTTCGGGGTCTTCATAAGCATTTACTGTTTGCAAGGGCTGGTCTTCCATGGAGACACTGGGAAGTTGCCATGGCCCTGGCTCAGGGGAGCGGTGCCGGACGGCCCTTAATGGGACTGCAGTAATCCCAGGTTAAGGGATGGCTGTTGGAGATGGCTGCCGTGTACGGTATGTCAACATAACATATTTTGTGTAACATGTAAAGCTGCCTGGGAACTGCGGTCATTTCGACAGGGGCTGCTCGCGGCCTCGGCTGCATCCTGCTTTCTCAGGTCGTTGCATTCAGGCTTGGTTTGGTGCTCTACATAGAAGACATGCCCACTGTCCTACAGTTAGGCTGAAAGTGCACAAAATGAAAGGTCCACATGTCTGTGGGAGCCTGTGCAGCCCAAGGCACCGTATTGCCAGGGGCCCCTGTGAGTGTTACAGTGGGGCTAAAAAGGCCCTCCTACAAGAACTAAACTCTAGGGCTGGGTGTGCAATCAACATGACTCAAATCTGCCATCAAAAGCGCAGATTTGAGTCATCCAGTGTTAGCAAGCAAAGGCTTAAGAACAGCAAACAGACAAAAACTGCATTTGTCCTACTGCTGCTGCTGGCCGGGCCCTCGCGCGGCCTCGGGGCCCTCACGCGGCCTCGGGGCCCTCACGCGGCCTCAGGGCCTGCCGGGGTTTCATTCCATCCACAGCAGCTTGCTGCTTCCTGGAGATCTCCTCCGGCAGGCCGCCCCTGCGCTTTCCCAGAGCTCCTCGGCCTGCGTCTCATCCTTCCCCCGCCCGTGTTTATGTGCCCAAAGCCTGTCTGCCTTCTATTTATACTCAGATTGGTGTCAGTGATGAACCGTGCAGTGAGTTGAGGTATTTGAGGCATTTAGAGTGCGTGTAACGCTGCAGCTCACGTGAGCAAACGTTAGAGGAGCGCGGCTTGGTTTTGCTCTTGCTGCACGTCCCGAAAGCCTTCGCAGCAGGAAAGCAACCTCCCGGCACGGGAGCCTTTGCTCGGCGGAGCTTCCTCTCCAAATGCCGATGCAAGGATGTCGAGCGTCTGTGGTTTTTTCCAGAATGTTTTGTATAATCTAACAATAGATGGATAAAGATTATGTAAATACAATGATACATAAAACACAATTTCATGCTCCACATTCTATAACTACTTTTGTCTTTATGCTTTTAAGGCTTTGACTGTAATGTTCTCAAATCTACTGCTTGCATCCATTTTAAAACCATTATTTTATGCTGCTTTTTAAGACCTCTGTTTTCTCCAAAACTCTCCTGGTTCCTCAATAATTCCCAACTTCTGTGTGTACTTCCTCATGCTCAGAGGAGTTCCTTGGATAAAATATTATCTCTCTTGAAAGGTTTCTTTATCGGTGATAAACTTGGTAAAGGTCAAACCATCTTGGGTAATATTCATGAGCTATGATGCCATCCTGTAGTCAGCATGGGAAAGATGCCATTAGGGATTCAGTCAGCAGGGAGATAAGCCCTGTTATAATGAACTGCAATAAAAAGCTTGGTTAAAAAAAAAAATCAGATAGCATTTCTGTCCTCCTTTGCAACCCTAAGCATTAAAATAGGAATGTCTTCAAAGAAACAGGCCACGTTGCTCACTGATTAGGCATCTCTTCCAACATCTTTTATTATAATCTTTATTCTGAAGGATTTAAATGACTCAACACAGGATATGTTATTTATATGATTAAATGATAATATTAGAGTGCTTAAAATTGTTGGAGTACTCAGCTCATAGAGGGGGCTGGCAGGGTTTTAGAGGAGAAATTATGGATTGTTGGTAAAATGTGAAAACCAATTGGGAGTCAACATTAATATACAGGAGGGATCAGACACGTTAACTGGGTGCAGTGTTGCTGTGTTCTTAAAGAAACGTAAACAAGGAAACAGCGAAAAATCAATCAAGTTGTATACAGGAAAATGGCACTGGATTGAAAGCATATTTATCTGTAAATATATAATATATAAACACATATATATACACAYGTGTGTGTGTACATATATATAAACACATATGTGTGTATATATATAAAAAAATACATATATGTACATATATATATATAGCAGTATATATATACATACATATCTATCTATATGAACTAGAAACCAAACGATATCTTTAATAAAAAAGGTAAGGGAAGGGGACTGTACGTTACTGCACAGATGTGCATTATAGTGCCACTCGAAAGAGCCTCCTCTTTCCTGCTGCTCTTTTGACTAGTGGTCTTTATGGGAAATAAAGGGGAGGATCGCACTAAGACTCAAACAGTTCAGTTCAGAGGAATAAGAAATGCAACTTTTCACATAGCACATAACAGTAAATCTCTGGATAATAAAAGTCAGTAGCTGCCCAGTCAATCTACCAGCTGCCAAATGACTAAAAATAAAATCTGTATGTCTTGATGGGAGGTTTTGACCCCAATATTACTCTAGTCACAAGGGACAGAATGATCTCTTATGCAAGTCTTTTTTTTCTCCGATAGGACTAATGCATTTAAATGCTTGATTTGATTCCTTAATATTCTAGGGCATTTATGAGAAACAGGAAAATATACAAATTGCAGAAGGGAAGAGAGAAAAAAAAAGAAAATGCCTGAGGGTTAGACAGGATGCCATGATTTAAAAAGTATTTTTAATGTAAATTTCAATCATTGACACACTGTCCAAAAATCAAAGGAATATATATGCCTACATCGGACTTACGATTCATCTTTTTTATCTTTTCATATATAAATATCTCTGTAAAACAATGCGGTGCAGAAAAAAATATTACAAGCAACTATGTATAAAAATGCAATTAAAAAAGAAAGACAAGTATTTGAAATGATATTAGTTTTATAGTAATGCCTTCCTGAAAATAAAAATCTACTTAAAGCTCTGATTTTTAAAAGATGATATGAAAAGAGAAAAACATAAGTTGTTACTAGACCTCACTATTTTGTTGGCGCTAAAACCCTATTCTAAAWTTTTTTTTAGTTTTCTATCAAATTTCAAATTAGTATGTTCTCTAACGTTTTATTATTGACAAAGACTAGAAAACATAATAATGGGCACCACAAAAAAAGAGCCACCAATTAGGGTTTCCATTGATTTTAAACATTCCATTGCTTCCTTATTCAAAAGCATAGTGTATCTGTATTTCCCGTGTAATTCATGTTATGCTACCACAATGCTGCTCATGCAATTTCCTTTTTTCCTGCTTAGGTGAAACCAAGGAAGCCCTGTGTGCTGCCGCTGTGATTTCAACCCCTTGAAAGGATCAGTCACCTCGAAATTAAAGACAGGAAAAGTGGACAAATACCAGTCTTCTACAGATCAGATTTCTCTTTTTGTCTCTGTAAACAGATTTCTTCATAAATTTGCTTCCTAAACTTCAACATGTCTTCTACATCTTTCTGGGTAAGCATTTCTTCAACAGATAAGAGCTTAAAGCCGCTCAGTTTGAAAGCTGACCTGTGCTGCACAGAGTTTAATAGTTCTAATGACATTCTAACCGATTCGCTTAAAGTAGAGCAAACAGGAAAAATCCTCGCAGTCCACAAYCCCAAATTGGTGTTATCACAGGAGAAGAGCTGGTCTGAAACCTGCAAATCCCAGAGATCCAGGCACTCTGATAAGCTGACTCCAAAAAACTGCAGAGAAGGTACATCTGACAGCAATTTCACGTTCTTTTTCAAGTTGTCCTGTACACTAAACACTATACTAACATACTTCACTTCATCGTTGATCTTTATACTTAGCGAACTCAGAAAACAGTCTGAGGGTATCTCGACCTTAAAATTTATGTGTGACCCACTAATAATGCTGTTACTCCCTACTGACACTTGGGGTCCAATTCTGGAGTACTCGATAACGGTTGCAGGCCCGATAAGACACCCCGGCTCAAGTATGCTTTGCATGACACTCGCCGAGCGAGCCAGGGCCTCAGCTTTGCCAGGGAAGATGCTAAAAGCTACAGGCAGTAAGCCAAGCTCAGACTTCAGTTCGCTATCATCAGATGTAAAATGAAACAAATACTCTTGTGTAGTCCCTATATGATAGAATTTGGAATTGTTTAATACTATAACATTGAGGGCAGTTCCTTTAAGAAGGGAATATAGCTTCTGCCTTACTTCTCCTAACTGTGAATCCTCTTTTGTGACATTACTTGTGTTTTTTGTGTAATCTTGAGTGGCACCAGGTCCCAGGGCCTGGAGGAAGTCACCATATGCATCTATTTCACAGCACAGGCTATCAATCTGCTTATAAAATGCCAGGAGTAGTTTTGCAGTGCTATGATGAATGTAAAACACACTGTCTGTATACACGCACTCCGAGTCCACTTCAGAGGCACTGAGGTCTCCAGAGGAGCCTGGCTGGGGACAGCTCTGTCGTGGGCAGACTGCTCCACACTGRCGCATCGTCTGCACGTCGGGCTTGTGCAGGAAGCGATGGCAAGATSTGTATTCAAGTCCTCCTTTTCCTGAGCAACCGGCTTGATCCAAAACAAACACTCCGTGAGTGGTCCCTATTGCCAAATCTGAAGGATGAGCTAAAGCAGTAAAGCCAGGTTTATCAAAGGTGATGGTTTCTGTTTCCCCGATGCTGTAGAGTTCTATGTCATCGGAACAAGTGACGAGAACTCCTGGTTCCATGTGCCTGGGGAAATCGATGTACATGGCGAGTTTCAGCTCCAGCATCTGGTACACAGGATCCCCTAAGGGCAAAGCTGTGAAGATCTTGCCCAGCGCACTTGCACTTGGTAAACGTTGGCTGTAACCACCTTGAAGAAAAAGACATTTGTTAAGGATGCAGAATACATGCTTTCTTACAGACTGATTATATAAAACAAGCAAAACCAAAACCTCTATGTTTATTCTCTGTATACCCTAAGATACTAAAAAAACAGCTTGGTCATAAACTACTGTATTTCTTTAGAATAATAGAAAAAATGTAAAAAACATCAATCATTCATCTTCAGGCATTTCTCAAGGCAGATCCTGGCCTTGATCCTAATAACGTCTGAAATTTAGCATGCCTTAAGTAGATTTTTCTTTTTTAACCATGCCTGATTTTATTTTCTGGAAAATGAACCACCTCTATATAAAGCTAAAGCAAAGAAACCAAATCACTACTGCTCTTTCTTTGAAAGATGGAAGGAAAAAAAGTCCCTCAGTCCAAAGCTGTCTTTCAATTTTAAATCAAAGATGAGCCAAATAAGGAGCAGTTTGGAGGAGTAAATAACAGTAACCTGTTATTTTCCTTTTTTTTTTTTTTTTTTTTTTTTTTTTTTTTTTTTTTTTTTTTTTTTTTTTTTTTTTTTTTTTTTTTTTTGTCAGTTTCCTAGCTAACAGTTTTTGGAAGTACTCTGATAACTGGACATCAAGGCAAGTACTCCTAAAGTCTGTATTTATTTTAGAGGCTTCCTATTTAGATCCTATGTAGGACCAGATTCCTTAAATGAGTACTTCAAGGCAGGAGCCTATTTCAGCTACTCTGAATTATATTTCTCCATTGATTAATAACCTACATGCCAAGAAGAAATGTGCAGCTGATGGCAATTATATTGATCTATATTTAAATGATTAGAACAGCTATATTTAGGAGGACTTTGGTGGGGGAACTGTATTTCAGCACTCTTGTCCCTTCCCTGTGAAAACATTTTTCCTTAAACAAAATCAAGCTAGGATTTTAGATCATGAAATATAAAACAGAATTTACCTGAATGAATTATCAGCACAAGAAAAGAAGTCCATTTGTCACCATACAGGTTTTCCAGGCACTGAAGAACGTGAAGTGTTGAACCACCATTTCCTATAAAACACCCTTAATATATGCTGCAATCCACCAATGCATCAGTCATTCGTGCTGCTGTGTGTGATTCACATGCAAGGCCCCAGGCGCTCGGGGACGAGCTCTGTGCAGCCCCAGTGCAGCGGGGTCCTGTGGCCCCCACGGCTGGAGCTCAGCGATCACACACAGCCATCATGCACAGAAATGCACGGCCACGATGCACAGCCACGCACAGCCACGCGGCGCAATGCAGCCACGATGCACAGCCATGCACAGCCACGCGGCGCAATGCAGCCACGATGCACAGCCATGCACAGCCGTGCAACGCGAGGCACAGCCATGCAGCATGATGCAGAGCTGTGCACAGCCATGTCCAACAGTGCACAGCCATGCACAGCCATGCAGTGCGATTCACAGCTACGATGCACAGCCATGCAGCTCAATGCACAGCAATAATGCACAGCAATGTACAGCAAAGCACAGCGGGGCCTGGCCGTGGCCAGTGCCGTAGCAGGGTGATGCTAAGGCCGCGTTTGGACAGGACAGCGCAGGCAGGACAGGRCAGGGCGGCACAGGTTAGGACAGGTCGGGACAGCGCAGGGCAGGACAGCACAAAGCAAAGGCAGGACAGGGGCAGGCAGGGMCGGGCAGGGCAGCGCGGCGCGGGCCGGGCCGCACGCACCGCTCTTGGCGCCGGGCGGGTCGGCGAGCGCCAGGTAGCGGGCGCCGCGGGGCAGCGTCCCCGCGCGCAGCTTCTGCTCCAGCTGCCGCTGGAAGGCGGCCGCCTGCGCCGCGTCCGCCGCCGTCACGGCCACCACGTCCCAGAAGCGACCGGGCCGCGCGGCGCCGCCTGCGGGGGGACAGCGGCTGAGCGGCGCGGCCGGCCGAGCCGCGCGGGCCGGGCCGGGCCAGCCGACCCGCCCGCGCCGGGCCGGGCCGGGCCGGGCCGCCCACCTGCGAGCGCGGCGAAACGCGCCATGCGCCGCGCCGTGTCCCGCCGCCGCGCCGCGCTCCGCGCCGCCGCCGCCATGTCCCGCGCGGCCCCGAGGCGCCGCCCGCCGGGCCCGGCCCGGCCCGGCCGGAAGAGGCGCCGCGCGGGGCCGGCGCTGCGGCGGGAGGCGCGGGGAGCGCGGGCGGGGACACTGCGGGACGCGCCCCGCGGAACGGCCATAACGGCCCTAGTGTTCAAACCGCCACGGTCACGCAGAACGGCCCTGTGCTGTTACTGCTGTTACCGCGCCCGGCCTGCCCGGCCGCACCCGGCGCCCTGCTGCTTGCGGCAGCACTGCTGCTGGTGGCAAAACGGCGCCCGCAGCTTGAAGGCAGCCCCGCCTTTGTACTGGCACTGTAATACCGCTCGCCTCGTGCTCCATTCCCGCAATAACGGAGTCCACCATCGCTGCCGTGACGCGGGGTGACGTCCCCGACCCGCGGGATGCGGTGGCGMCCGCCGCTGCCCCGCGGCACTTGTGCCAATTCACTGGGAATTCTGTACCCAGGACTGGGTATCTGCGCTCAATCTGCGCTAAGTTGACTGTACGGAGCCTGTTACACACCCTTTCCCCCTGCTTTTCCTAGATCTCCGAGAGAGGAATCAAAACTGATAGCTCGTCATGAACAARTTAACCGAGTATCTCATCCCCACTTCAAAAATATGGTACTTGAATGTGGGCAAACTGTTGCTCAAAGGGCTGGGGAGGAGCCAGGAGACCTGCTCCTAGTTTGGCCAAATGGGCTGTATCGAAGAACATGGAACATCTGCAGTATTGCTCGTCACTTAAAATACGCATCCGGGCAAATAATTTCATTACTAATATTGATTCCCTTGTGTGCCGCCCTCATCCACTTGAACTGGGTCTCCATGGAAATCAGGTAAATAGCAGTTTATGAAGAAGCAAAAGCTAGGTTAATTTGCCTTAAAACTTGTGTATTTGCATTCCTTCGAAGCGATATATATTTTGAATGAAGTATGATTTACTTACGGAAGGAGCTCTTCTGGATTAATATATTCCATTTTCTTGCTGAGGGCTGGGAGTAGCTACATTTTTGCTTCACACAATTAAATGGGAGTTCTGCCATTAGYGAGAACGAGATGAGCATTTTGCCATGGTTACCCCGCACTTTGTTCAGAGAGCAGTTTTCAGAGGAGAGTTTCAGTTTTTGAGGTCTCTTCATTTTTTAACTCCAGGAAATGGTGGCATGTGAGTTTTTCAGCATTCAAATGGATATATTGAAATCACCCGAAAAGCTATAATATGAAGGAGATTTTTTTTTTTTTGCTGTGCAGAGAAGTGATAAAATAACTTCTCAGTATGTTGTACATGTTTTAAATCAAATAAACAGAAAATAGGGAAAGTCTACGTGRCAGTTTTTATATTGTAGCCTGGTGATGATGTATTGTTCTTACTGCGTATTCATATGTCTASTGCTTCATCTGTCTAGTTTTAAATACTTAAAGCAGAAGGTCATCGTCTGCTTTCTTTATCTCTGAGCTGACTCTTCAGGGTTTTCAGGAGATACTCGATATATATTATCCAGTTCTCTGTTTTAATCTATTTCTCCTCTTAAAGATATGGTTTTTTTTTTTTTTTTTTTTTTTAAATTTATGAGGAAGTCTTGTTTCCTGGTATTAAATACATTATGTCCTGCTAACAATGCCTGTGGTGCGTGTCAGCGGGAACTAAACACTGATCCCTCTTCAGTTCACGGGACAAAAGCTGACAGGAGCTCTGCAGTTTCAGGTTAGTCCTTGGTTTTACGTGCTGGACGTGAGACCGCAAGAACCACAAAACAAAGTCCTCATTCCCCGCGAGCGGAGCCTGGCCCTGTCCCCAGCGGAGCCCATGGTTCGCGGTGGCCTCGGCTTGGAGCGTGGTGCCACGCGCTCGGCTGCCATCGCCTTGCGGACGAGGACGAGGACGCTGTCGAGGGGCGGGAGATCCCCAAAAACACAGACCGCTTTGCCCTGGTCTTCTCATTGACCTCAGCCCTGTGGCTAGAAAGGTAAGCACAGCAGCTGCTTTCCTGAGTTGTGAAGGTATTTTCCTGAAAATAGATAATTCTAAGTGCTTAATGAGGCAGTAAGCACACGGTCCATATCAAGAGGTCCATATTAAGTTGCCTTCCTGTGTTTCCAACCCCGCACCTCGCTGCCCAGCGCCTTCCCGCCTGTCCCCTGGCCTGTTTGTGCTCGAGCCTTTCAGCAGCCCCTTCGCACCTCGCCTGGGCCTGCACCTACACTCCACACTTCTGCCGTAGTGCAAAGCTGTACTAATTTATTTCCCTGTATATTCAAGGCCCCGCATTTGTSTTTGCAAAATGTCCCGATTCATTCTCATTGTGAGTCCTTTCTAGACATTTTCATTGTCGTTTCTGTTACTTCGTCCTTGGGGAACCCAAATCCTTTGCCTGAAAGCAGATAGGGAAAAATTCATTCTCCTGCATCTGGCTGTTGCCTGAGCCTAGTAGTTATTGCACAAACAGTTATTGCTTTCTATTTTTTYTAGGCCAGTGGGTATTTTGTAATTTTTCATTAAAACTGGGTGCATGGAGACATTTCATGGTAAAACAATTTTTAAAATTCCCAATGTTCACCAAAACCAGTAACTTAAACACAGGCAGGATCTTGTGTTACATTTTGCTGTCAGGACATTTCTTTTCATGTGGTGTTATAAAATGATTGTTGCCTTGGTGGCTAAGGATAGCAAAAATGCTATGTAATAACATTTAATCTGCCTTTTTAAATTTCTGCCTGCATTTTATGAATGGCAACATTTATTTAGTCCTGAATGGCAACAATTTATTTCATTTTGCTCTGATTCCTTTTCAACAAAGCTAGTGCACGTGGATAATTTCAAGGACCTGTTAATAATCAATCATTATTCTATCTATAGAGATTGAACTTTACCAATGATTTAGAAAGAAATAATTGTTTAGATTTTCACTTTTAGCTTTGAAAATGGAAGAAAAAAAGGAGTGAAAAAGCATGTGCATAGAACAAACCATACTTGGGTTTAGTATAGCTGTTTTTTTTCTGGGATTTGTAAATCCGTTTCCATTGTATGATATGAAAATGTCTGTTATATGCTCTTATGAAAGTAAGATAATGTGAGACTACCTCAAAATCAAAAATACACATAAACTTCACTGCCAACCAAATTCTGGGGTCTGGGCAATGCTGAATGTGGATTCTTTTGATCCTTTCTGRCTTTTTGTGTCAGGCTGTTGTCTTTCTTTTGCTTCTATGGAGGGTACGCCAATCTCTTATTTTGTGTAAGTAGTGACTGAGATTGAGACCAATGCTTCATTTATTCACAATTTTTATTGAAGAAAAAATGCAGCCAGTTGCTACACTAGCGAATGCAATAATATGCATTTGCTCATGCTTTCTCTTTGAAGTGGAAAATTAACACATTAAAGCCAACGAGAAATGTAAGTAATACTCCGATGATATTATGTTGAATGACATGTGAAGCTTCTGCCTATCCTGATAAGAGATGCTGAATAAAGGGCAAATATAAGAATGGACTTCSACTCTTTTTAGCATAAAAATGAGGTGGAGCTTTCTGGATTGCAGAGCATTGTGTGAAAGAAGCCCTGAAAAGCGGCCTTTGCCCCAAGACAGGCAGCTTTCGAGGAGAGTTTTTGGTGTCCTGGGTTGGCGTTTCCGCGGTTTGGAAACAAGAGAAGAATCCCCCAAACAAAACGCCATTAGTTTGGGAATTACTGGGAGTTTCCTGGGAATTACTAACGCCACCTGAGAAACAGCAGCCTGGATTTACCTCCCATGCAGTGCCCCCCTGAAATGTGTGTTTTCCTTCTTGTACAGATACTTTTCTTACTCTGATCTTCTAATGGTTCAGTGTCTGCTAATGTCTGCTAATACGACTAAGCCACTCGTATCTCTCAAACTTTTGTTTTAAGAAGCATTCCAAACTACAAATTAGTATATTGCTTTAGTATTTTACTTCACGTTTTTAGAAGCCTCCCGTAGTTAAACAGCTTTTCACAAGCTCCATGAATAAATGATGAAAAGATATTTTCATCTTCTTCATTCGCTCTTGATGTTTTCTGCAGCAGAATGTCTGTAACTTCTCCTGTGTGATTGAAAATGCAGACATTGTTTTGGGCCAGATCTTTGGGTTTTGTTTTTGTTTCGTGTGTGTGTGAACAGTTTCAAAAATTTGGAGCCTRAAGCTGAGAATTTCTTGTTCAATGAAACAAATATATTTATTTCTGCCTGTGAGAATTGGAAAAACTCTATGAAAGTTATCRATGTTGTATTTTGTGTTGAATATACATTTGATATACGATAAAATTAGTTCCATTTTTATAATGCCTTATAACGTATTCATTAAAGAATAACTGCAAATACTTGCATTTGATAACTTTATTGAATATGTTTTTTTTCCATGTCCTATATTCACTAGTAAAAATAGAGCTTTAATAACCTYTATCTGTAAGTGGAGAGGGCAAATAGCCTTCCCGTGAGGTCAAGGAGGCACAGTTCTGAAGTAGGAGGAGCTGCTGCATGCTTCATGTGGGAAAGGTGCCGCTTAGGAATGGGCTCCCAGTTCTGTTTTGGTAACCGGAGAAACATTTGCTCTGCTGGGCTAGGTTTGCTTTCGGGAAAGCGCCTGCTTTGTCTTTGGATCTTCAGCTGGGGGGTGAAATTCATCTCTTTTAGATCTATGTCTATAAAGTCATGTGTGGTAGAAATATGGATTTTAGAGCATGTTATGTTCAACAAATTTTCYGTTTGAATTCATGCAGGAAGGAAATGCTGAAAAGACTTTAAGTTGTGTAAAAGATGTCGTTTCAAAAATCAATCGTGTTTTAGCACCTCATTCACCAATCATAATTGTTCAAAGATGGATAAGGGGATATCTAACTAGGAAAAGACTTGGATAGGCATTTTTGATTTACTTGTAGAAAAGAGTTTTTGCAAAAAAACCACATTTTAGCCTAGCTACGCTTCAACATAGTACTAATCATTTCAATCTAATCAAGTGAATATTAAGGTTTTCTGCC